AAACTTGCCAAGACACAAACAAATGGTTTATGGACCCAAAAAAAAAATAAGCTAGGGTGAAATGAGTATATTTTGATGCCACAAGCAATCGACCAACAAATATAGATGATTCATATTGATGCCACATCTCATTTTTTTCTGAACATTTCTCAAGGCAAAATAGCAAACATAGCTAGTTCTCACATCTGGTTGAATTATATTTTGAACTCCAAAAAAACTCATTTTGCTTGGCATCAAATAAAGCATCTTTCAAGAAAATAAAAATTAAAAATGGTATAAAAGTATGAAATTAAGAAACATTTCAAGTTTCGAAAAACATTATATTTCATTTAGAATAATTTCACAAACCAAAGAATAAAATAAGAAGACAAAACAAAAGGACAAATCTTCACATTGCAATAAACCTAGAGGTCTTTTCATACCAATCTTCACCATTTCAAATACATCTCTAGCAAAGTACAAAAAAAAAAAAAAAACAAAATTCACTTCAATCATCAACTTTACTGCTAACTTTACTTTTCACCCACAACTTAGTGTTCGGCAAAAAAAACATTTCCACATAAGAAAGTAATAGGTATCAGAGTGAATCACAATCAATGTCTAAAAAATTTCTAATCGTTGTGATCCTTAGAACAAGTAAAAAACTTAACCATCCCATGAAAAATATTAAAAGATCTGTGGGTAGATAGATTCTACTCATAAATTACCACTAACCAACAAAACAAGGCTTAAAAGCATCAACGCTTATAGAAAAGCAAGCCTAGAGTAAATTATATGAACTCTTCTCTATTTTTTCTGTAGAATTCTCATGAATTAAGAGGGAATATTAATAACAAAAGCACCTTGTAGAATTGAATACTCACTTCGCAACAAACTAGAAAACTTGCCAAGAGACAAACCAATGATTGATGGACCCAAATCCAAAAAACAAACTGAGATGAAATGAGTATATTCTGACCAGCAAATATAGATAATTCATATTGATGCCACAACTCATATTTTTTTTCGAGCATTTCTCAAGGCGAAATAGAAAACATAGCTAGTTCTCACATCTGGTTGAACTATATTTTGAGCTCCAAAACAACTCAATTGCTTAGCATCAAATAAAGCATCTTTCAAGAAAATAAAAATAAAAATGGTATAAAGTATGGAATTAAGAAACATTTCAAGTTCCAAAAAAACTGTATCTTTCATTTGGAATAATTTCACAAACCTAAGAATATAATAGGAAAACAAAACGAATGGACAAATCTTCACATTACAATACACCCAGAGGTCTTTTCATACCAATCTGCACAATTTCAAATACATCTCCAGCAAAATACAAAAAAAAAAAAAAAAAATAGAAAAATCATTTAAATCATCAACTTTGCTGCTAACTTTCCTTTTCACCAACAGTTTAGCGTTCAACAAAAAATATATTTCCACGTAAGAAAGTAATAGGCATCAAGTGAATCACAATCAATGTCTAAAAAAATTCAAGTTGTTGTGATCTTTAGATGAAATAAAAAACTTAACCATCCCAAGAAAAATATTAAAAAAGCCGAAGGTAGATAGATTCCACTCATAAATCACGACTGATCAACAAAACATGACTTAAGAGCATCAACGCTTATAGAAAAGCAAGCCGAGAGTAAATTATATGTACTAATCTCTACTTTCCTTAGAATTCTTATGAATTAAAAGGGGACATTAATTACAAAAACACCTTATAGAGCCGAATACTCACTTTGCAATAAACTAGAAAACATGCCAAGACACAAACCAATGGTTTATGGAACCAAATCCAAAAAACAAGCTAAGGTGAAATGAGTAGATTTTGATGCCACAAGCAATTGACCAGAAAATATACATGATTCATATTGATGCCATAACTCATTTTGTTCTGAGCATTTGTCTAAGCAAAATAGCAAACATAGCTTGGTCTCACATCTAGTTGAACTACATTTTGAGCTCCAAAACAACTCATATTCTTGGCATCAAATAAAGCACCTTTCAAGAAAATAAAAATAAAAAATGGTATAAAAGTATGAAATTAAGAAAAATTACAAGTTCCAAAAAATGGTATCTTTCATTTGGAATAATTTCACAAACCAAAGAATATAATAAGAAAATAAAACAAAGGGACAAATCTTCACATTGCAATAAACCCAGAGGTCTTTTCATACCAATCTTCACCATTTCAAATACTTGACTAACAAAATACAAAAAACAAAAAAACCAACTTTTCGCCCACAGCTTAACGTTAACCAAAAATATATTTTCACGTAAGAAAGTAATAGGCATCAGAGTGAATCACAATCAATGTATAAAAAAGTTCAAATCGTTGTGATCTTTAGAAGAAATAAAAAACTTAACTATCCCAAGAAAAATATTGAAAGAGTCGAGGGTAGATAGATTCCACTCATAAATCACCATTGACCAACAAAACAAGGCTTAGGAGCATCAATGCTTATAGAAAAGCAAGTCGAGAGTAAATTATATGAACCCGTCTCTACTTTTCTATAGAATTCTCATGAAATAAGAGGTGATATTAATTACAAAAGCACCTTATAGAATCGAATACTCACTTTGCAATAAACTATAAAACTTGCCAAGACACAAACCAATGGTTTATCGACCCAAATCCAAAAAACAAGTTGAGGTGAAATGGGTATATTTTGATGCCACAAGCAATAGACGAGCAAATATACATGATTCATATTGATGCCACAACTCATTTTTTTCCGAGCATTCCTCAAGACAAAATAGCAAACATAGCTAGTTCTCACATCTGGTTGAACTATATTTTCAGCACCAAAACAACTCATTTGGTTGGCATCAAATAAAGCATCTTTCATGAAAATAAAAATAAAAAATGTTATAAAAGTATGAAATTAAGAAACATTTCAAGTTCTAAAAAACAGTATCTTTCATTTGGAATATTTTCACAAACCAAAGAATATAATAAGAAAACAAAACAAAGCAAAGGGACAATGATTCACACACATTGCAATAAACCCAGAGGGCTTTTCATACCAAACTTCACTATTTCAAATACTTCTCCAGCAAAATACAAAAAACAGAAAAACCATTTCAATTTAGGAAAATTGAAGCGCAAAATTCAGAAAGATTGACACCCTAACACATTAAGATCCAAATTAAATTGCAAGAATAAACACTAATTTTATAAGTAGATACAATTAAAGTATGAAATGTTATAACTCAATAAAATGTATTCATTAGAGGAACTATCATATAAGATAGTTAAAAGAATCAGAAACCTTTTGTACCATTACGGTAAAAAATTACTTTTTGCTTTTCAAAAAAAATTAAAAGCAAAAAGAATCAAAAAGATGGAAACCCTAACAAATTGAAACCACCTTGAATTGCAAGAATAAACCCTAACTTTACCGAAGATATAATTAAAGCATTAAACAGTCATAACCCTAAAATAACCGTAAAGAGCGTTCTGCAATAAGTGAATATCATATAAAAGAGTATGAAGAAGAAAAAAAAATAGAACTTTCACTTTGGTACCATTACGATTCCAAATTACTTTTTGTTTTCAGAAAATCTGAAAACGCATATAAAAAAAGATTGAAACCAAGATTAAATTGCAAGAATAAACACTAACTTGATAAAAACAACGAATTGAAAATGATATCAATTCCTCCTTATCAATGCAAAGTTAGGCAGATTTGAATTGGGACAACGCGGGGTTGGAAAGTCAGGCAGATTTGAATTGGGATAGCGCGGGGTTGGAAAGTCGGGCAGATTTGAAATGGGAAAGAGCCGGATTGGAGGATGGGGCTTTTATAGATGGGTAATATTACATTTACAAAGAATTTTACAAAGATTTTTAGTACAAAAACTTTACAAAGATTTTTAGTACAAAGTGACAGGGAGATAGATGGAAGAATGAATATAATGAGTTTGACTTTTTGTATTCACTCTTCTATTCATCTCCTATCACCTCACTTTGTACAAGAAATCTTTATAAATTTGTTTGTACGTCTAGTATTATTGTTTATAGATTACATGAAACACGCTTCTAAAACGTTTATTAATTTGGCACGTTTTTGAAACGTATTTCTATTTTACGCGTTTTAATAGATTTTAAATTAGACAAATTCTAGGCCTCCTTGATGTTAATTTTGTATTTTGGCTTTGGTAAATTAATGCCATGCTTGATATAAACAATTAATTCAAATAATATTTTTTTAAAATATATGTGTAAGCAAAAGAGTGTAATTTAGTTTGCTTACGTAAAAATAACTAATTCTTAATTTTTATCTACATAAATACAATCAACTTAATAATTTTTAATTTTCTTACAACTTTAATATGTAATATTCCTTTTCTAGATTGATTAGAGAAATTGATTTAGATAACAATTTGGTGGTGCACATGACATAAACTCTCATAAACATTTTACCTTTTGTTTTATTATTCTGCAATTTTTAAAGACTATTTTTAACTGAATTACTGTATATTAAATCATCATATAATTGTTTGATTTACTAAGCTCCTCCTCCTTGATGTTATTCCTGTATTTCGGTATTAGTTAATTTAACCATGTTTGATTTTAAAAAATTAAATAAAAGTAACTAAAATTTTCTTTTAAATATGTTAAGCGAAAAAGTTAAAGTTGGTTGCTCCTAAGTAAATAAATGATCTAATCCTTAATTTTATTTTTTCATGATTGATTGATTTTATGTCATGACAAATTCCAATAAAGATTTTTTACTTCCGAATGCGTGTGCGAGGACTTCAAACAAACTTCAAGTCATGCGAAGTATAAATCATATCCAACAATTACATGCAACATTACAAACTTGATCTTAGATCTTGGTAATAAATATGTAATAGCAAAAATATGACGACACCTAAATGAGATTGACATATATTAGGAACTTGGTAATCTCTATTTGCTTGTTATCAAAATCATAATTTTTGAAGTAAATTTTATTTTCTGACATTTTGCAGACATTAAAAGAGAATTTATGAGAGGAGTAATAAGTAGGAACAGTAGTTTTATTAGACACAACTCATTAAAAGTTCATCCACATAGTAGTAGTAGTTATTTAACTGAACTACATACAAAAGCTCTCTCCTGTCTCCACCCATAGCAGAGATTATCTAAGCTCTCCTTTATTATGCACTACCTACCCCTTCAAAAACCAAAAAACACTAAGTACGTGCATGCATGTCGCTTAACATCACTAGCATTACATCAAATTTAAGCATCGTCCCTCATCTGTTGGCTTGATTGTCCAGATGACAAAGTTGGCTGCTCATTGTTGAACTTGATCTTCCTAGCATCTTCTCTTGAGATCTGGAATGCATTGGCCAGTACCTCCTCTGGCATGGCACGAAGCACCGAGGTGGATCCAGCAAGTGGGCTTATCATGGCCCGGTCATTTGTCTTAAATGAAATCCATTCGAATCTTTGTCCTCTTGCACGTTTCACGACCGCAAAGTTTTGTGGCACCACAAAGATCTGTCCCTCGCTGACTTCCCCGTCGAACACTGTGTTGCCAAAGTTGTCCACTACTTGAACCTGGGCGTTACCCTTGCAGCCGTAGACTATGCTGTGTGCGTTGAAGTTCCAGTGTGGCACCATCAGAGCATTCTGCATCAAAATCAACATATAAGTATGATTCAATTAAGTTAGGTTTGCTAATTCAATTAATTAATTTACTTACGTTTTGGAGCACACCCCTTTCAGCACTGAGTTGGAGCCATTTGAGGATTGGGAGGTTAAGGCTGTTGAGGGAGGTAATACGACCAACTTCTGGGGTGTAAATGTCAGAGCGAGAAGGATCATGAATGTTCTCTTTGAGTTTCATGGTGCAAATGGTCTCTTCAAGACCATTGTCACGTCCCCTTCGGCCTCTTTCATACTCACTTTCCTCTTCACTCTCGAATCCACGCTCGCTCTGTCTCCTTGGTGGCCTGATAACCTGAAGGTCGCCCTTCACTTTAACAATGGCACCTCTGTTGTCCTTCTCGTTTTGGAGCTGCTTTACAAGACGTTGTTCCACTTGGAAAACCTCAGCCAAGATCTTTGTGTCGAAGCCGCAGAAAATGTTGTTGCAAGATTTCTGTTGGCTTTGTCTACGCCCGCGAGATTGCTGTTGTTGCTGCTGCTGGAACTCATCTTCTGGGTTACCAGCCAGATTGAATTTCTACAATAAAGAAAAATCATGAATCCAGTCATTAAGATATTGGTTAGTAATTACTCATTATATATATATATATAAAAATTAATTTCTTACTCTTGGGTACATATCAAGCTGGTTTTGACTGTTTGAAACGTCTAAAAGAGTAACAGTGACGACTGGGGAATTGCCCTCGTTGTAGCACCAGTTTGCAACTCCTGCGGGCAATGCGATGATATCACCTTTACGGAAACGTTGAATCTTTTGGTGCTTATCCTGGAACCTACTACTCTGTCCGTGTTGTTGTCCCTGTTGGGGTGCCTGGTAAGTTTCAGGACATCCTGGAATTAAGGTTCCTGTCATACCCTCACCTGTACGCAAAATCAACAACATAATCATTAAACATCTTCTGAGCAACACAGCAAGTGTTATTAATTCTAGTGACCTGAGTACTTTACCCTCGACAATGTACATAAGTGTAGGAGCATTTGAATATTCTGGCAACCGAAGGCCATTAGGTTGGATGGTATGCCTAGCCACAGCAACACCAGCGCACCTGAATTGCTCATGGTTAGGGTCCCAGGTTTCAACCATACCGGCTTCATACTCAACGCGGTTATCGGGTTCAAGGGCATCGAGCTGATCGATTTGGCACTCATTTTGTTGTTGCCCTTGCTGGCGAGAAGCTAGGCAACCATGGAAGAGAATAAGAAGGCAAACAGAAAGAGAAAGAAGGGAAGGATTAGCCATAGTGAAGAGAAGAGTGAGATTGAATTGGTTGTGTTTGAGATGAAGTAGTCAGTAGGAAGCGTTGGTATTTATACGGAGGAAAAGGTGGTGAAGAAGTGACAAATAAGAGACGGTGTGTAAGGTATTCTCGAGCCATTTTCAGTTTGCATGGCTACATGACTCCCATTGCTTACACCTCACTATCTCAGGCCGGCAGGTGGCTTTTAGCTTTATAGAAGAATACAAAGTGCTCACCTGAAAGGTGAAGAATACAAAACTGATATATGTTTTTATTGGAGATTGTTTTGCTGTTGTTGCAGTGATCAGGTTCCTATTAATGGAGATGTTGATGAAATTCATTAAGTGAATATATGGGGGTGGAATTAATTGCAAATGTATGATTGATTATTAGTTTGTGTTGTTCCGAAGAAGAGATTTAAATGGATTAACTTTAGAAATTCATTGGAATTTAAATGTAGAATTGAAAAGAGGGGTGTAATAGAGTTTGCTTGTTAAAAGACAAAGATCATTTGGAAGTAAGGGGGAGACCCATGTGAATACGTAGAAGTGTGCGACGAACCCAGCATGTTAAATGATTTTGGCGAATTTAGGTTTAACAGTTTTTATATGACAACTGGGTCAATGCATGCACTTTCATTGACATCTGGTACTCAATTTGGCGAATTTAGGGTTTAACATCAATATTGTTGTGCAACAAGAAAGCGAGAGCAAGGGAAGGGTACATATAAATAAAAAAAGGTAATTGGTTTCATTAAAATTCATAACATGCTAACGTTCACGATGGGACTCGAACCCATAATCTCCCGCTCCGGAGGCGAGCGCCTTATCCATTAGGCCACGCGAACCAACCTGTACTTTATTCTCATTATATCAATTAATTGTTTTATCACGAACAAATAAGCAATGAGAAATTTACTGAGCTGAGAAACTCACATGTTTACAATGCTTTCCCTTATAGAAACGAAGTTCGTTATTTTAGCTGTTGCTAAACAGATTGAAAGAAGATCAAAAAAATAAAATAAAATGAAACTAATCCAATTCTCTCATTCTATCAAATCGACGTTTCCATTTTAGCTATAAACCCGTTTTAAATATATTGAATTTAAGACAGTTCCTACTGTTTCAAAAAATGCGTAAGGATGCAACGAAGAAGGCTAAGATATACAAGTGAGTGACAGTGATCATAATAATATGATACACACCTATTTAATTAAGAACCAGAGCTATACCGCAGTTGTGCAGTTTTAGTCTCTAGTCCGTTTCAACAAAAAAAGAAAAGACTATTTATTTAAATAGATGTACATTGGAACAGTAGGTTTGATCTTAAATCTATAGAAAACTCTTTTCTTCTTGAATGTTGCATTGTCAATGGTAATGACTATCTTTCCTGGTTCATTAATGTAAAATGAATTTCTAATACTCTCTTCTCTGTTCCTTTCCCTCCCCTCATGGAGCAGAACCCTGTATGAACCTTCATCATCCGGAATGAACTCCTCTCTATAGCTTACATCCCATCCCACTACCGTTAAATCCCAGATCATGGTCACCCGAGTCTGGAAAAAGAAAAAAATAAGTTTAATTAATCATGTTATGAAAATTGGCATATATAGTAACGTTTACATAGGCACCTCATGGACTGGAATTTGGATGATCCCGACAGAATTTTTTTTGACAATAAGCTCTGACGCTTTATCCTCGGGAAAGAACTCGTCGTCCTTTCTATTGAGACCGCCATATTCAACAGGAAGGTGTTCCGGGCCTATAAAACTGTTTTTTTTTTTTTTAATAATAGAGATAACAAGAAACAAAATTATATAAAATTCGGATGTTGAAAATATAATAGAAATAGTAATCTCACTTGAGAAGGGTCTTGGTAGCGTTTGATGGTGTGGCATATACAAATTTGGTTCTATGTCTTCGAGTTTTGAACGTGGAACTCATCGTATGACACACATAGCACCAAAAGGGTACATTTATGACCATCTGCAAGTGAAAATGGATAATATTATTACAAGCATAAACTTAGAAATAAAAATTTGTTATTACCGATTTCATTATCATCCAATTTGTTAACACTTACGTTTTTATGTATGACATCTGGGTAATTTTCACGAATCATCTTCAAAGCTTTCTTGTCCACTAAACATATCTTCTTGCCAGAACTAGGTGAGTTCTTCAAATCTGTAATATGAACCATAGAGTGTACTCCACCAGATTTGAAGCTTAATTCCTTGAGACCCTTTTCCATGAACTGAACTTTAAGCCTAAAGAACTTCTCATCCTTGTTTTCTGTCTTAAACAATTCAATGTTGTTCAAGGCCGCATAAACATTGAAATACAAAGGGTGACCTTGTCTGTCATGGCAATTCAAGTACATAATATTATCTATATCAGGACCAAAATCCTCTTCCAGGATTGAATCAACATTGTAATCTCTTCTCCATTTCAACGTCTTTCGAAGCATCTCAAATGCCTTTTGGACTTTGAAGCGTTTTGCTTTCAGGAATTTCATTAGGATAATATCTGTTCCTTGATGGCCTTTACTTGGCAACAGAGGCACACCCCAAAGAGTAATGTTTTCGAGTTGTTCTGTCTCCTTTATGGCTTCTATTGGACAAACATCTTTCGTTGATTTCCCAAAAAGAGAATTTCCAAGGATTGCATCTTCAAGTATGCGACGAAATTCGGATAATGCCTTCCTTTCTTTAGCTATTTTTACATCTACATGATTGGGATGAGAATTTTGTTGGTGTCTTACAAAGTAATTGGCTTCACTTTCATCATGGATCCTGTTGTTTCCGTTGTCCATTATGATCCTAGATAGGCATTGTTATTGATTTGGTGAAAGCTCTTCCCCGGTCAGAATTCCGACATATTTAGAGAGGAGATGCCGGAAAACTGAAACCAGGTGGGGAGAGAAACACACGAACAGAGGGAGGGAGAGATTTTCTATTGGGTTATATTTTATATAAGATATTAAGATTTGAGTTAAAAGGAAGCAAGTTATAACCATCAGTTGTTGAGAGCCAAATTTAGAATGAATTTTGTGATGGAAGCGAGTGATAGGTAGATATGAAACTGGTGGTTACTGTGAGGAGGAATATTAGGCAACATTAACTAGTGCTTTTTATTTAATGATATATTTGGTACTTTTATAATAATTCATAGATACATTTTTTAAAAATAGAGACCATTAATTATTTTAAGGGCTATGAGTGGCTATCTCTAGACGCAGGTTTGATCTTAGGGTCTCTAAAAAGTAATTAGAAAAAAAATATATTATTTTATGTATTTGTGGATATTATAATGAATTAATAATATTTATTTTCCCATCAGATGTATAGGTAATACATCATTGCTTTGAGCTTTATTATTTTACAGCACTGTTTTAAAACCCGTTCCGGCCCGACTAGTTTAATCGAGACCCGGAAGCTTCACCGGATCAAGTTTACATTTTTTCTATTCATCCAAAACCCTAGAATTTGGGATGATAATCGATGAACAATTGAAGGTCGGGATGTTAGGGCTTTTGAAGAGAAAGTGTCGGTGAGTGCAATGGTGGCAACAGAGTTGATTTCTAATAAGTAAATCGGCCGGATATCGAAAAAAACTAACAGTGGCAACAATCGCTTTTACCGACGATTGACGAGGCTAACGAGGGTGGGGTGAGGTGGGTTTTGATCAGGAGGAAGAGTGGAGTAGTTGCAGGGTGATGGGGAGGGTTGCCGACGCCAACGTCGGTGAGATCTGGCCTAAAATATCGATGTTGACGTCGATGAGATTTGACCGAAATTAAACTAATATTGACCATATCTTGGGTAGATTTTCAAAGGAATTGGCTCAAGAGACAATTGGGGTTCCATTTGGGGTGTCACCGTCACCAACCAATCATCGACCAATTTGTATTTAGAGTATGTTTGTGAAATTTCAAACCTATAAGGACTTTCTTGTAATTTTTAGGGGTGTATTTACTAAATTTTAAAATTTTTTGTCAGGTTAAACCGGTCAACCGGGTTGGATTTTTAAAACATTGTTTTACAACAACTAATTATGATTGGAATTAATATTGAAATGTTTAATAAAGATCAAATGACTTGCACCCACCCAAAATTTGCCGTAAAGACAATCTAGTATTCAAAAGGTTTGGAAACAACAATTACCCTCTTTTCTTAAGGTTATGTCAATGAAATCTATTAGATGACATGGTATTATTGATATTCTTTCATACTTAAAAGGGTAATTTTGACTTTTTATAGTTTATAAAATCCCTAAATTTTATCTCTCTTCTTTTTTTTTCCTCATCCTTTCTCCGTCTTTTCCCTTTATTTTTTGCTCTTATCTCTTTTGGAGGTATTTGTTTGAGCTTATGAAAATTAGCAAGTGTTTATAAGGCGCATTTGAAATTTTAAGCAATTACGTGTTTGGTTAAAATATTTATAAGTGACTAATAAATAGTTAACGTGTTTGGTAAAATGTGACTTATAAGTATATTTTATTATAAAATGACTAAAAAATATACTATATTAAATAAGGGTACACTATAAAATTTTAAAATTAAACAAAAATAACGTGGTAATATACTTGATCAAACTAATTTATAAGTAGAATGCTTATAAGAAAAAAAAAATACTTAATTTATAAGTTCAAAAAGTTATAAACAAATAATTTTTTTCTTATAAACTTAATTTATAATAAACAAACATATTAACTTAATTTTATCATTCATATGCTAGTTTTACAGCTTGTAAGCTTAGAAGCAACCCATCTCATCCCTTCTCCGCATTTTCTCTTTCTCTTACCTTCTTCTCTTCTTCTCTCCCTTTTCTTTCTTTCTTTCTTTTCTTCGCCCTCTTCTCCTTCCTCCCCTTCTCTCCACCATGTGCCAACCATTTGGCAGCTAGATCTGGTCAAGTGGCGCCCAGATCATGATGACCCGATATGACTGGTCACTAGGCAAGATCCCGACACCGGGATATGGACTAGAGGCTAGCCAGATCAAAGCCTCTCTCCCCTCTCTCTCTCTCCCCTACCTTTTTCTCTCTCCCTCTTCCTCCCAACTTCAAACCGCCAAGCATCCCACGCGGGTTATTTATTTTTTTTTTTTTTTTTGTGTGTGTGTGTGTGGTGTTCGCGGGAATGTTTGAGGAAATGAAACGAATCTGGTTTTTTTTGTTTTTTTTTTTAAGTTTAGAGTTGCGGTTGGTGAATACTCAATGAGGAAAAATTGTTGCTTGAGCCTTGAGGTGGTTTAGTTGACTTTTGGATAGGATCGAGTCAAGACCATTTGGGAGATTTGGTTTGTTGTAGTGTTTGTTTTGGCTTCTTGATTGCGTTATTGCGTAGATCAAGATTTGTTGTTTATTTTGATTTTGATTTTTCAAATTAGAAATGAAGACAAAACAGAGAAGAGAAGAATGAAGAAAGGTGAATAAGAAAAAACACATAAGGATAAGGAGACGAGAGGTGGCAAAGGCGGATCTGTTTGCTATTAGAGTTATTCTGTAATTTTAATTAAAATTAATTAATTATAAAAATAGAATAATGAAAATTCATATTAAAAATAGATGCAAGAATTTTAAATTGTAAGATTTTTTGGCTAAATCAAAATTTATCATTTTATCCTTTGACTAACAGATTTCAATATAAGCTAACAAAGATAATTATCATTTTCAAACAAAAAGCGGATAATTATCATTTTCAAACCTTTTACGTATGGCATTGCCTTTACAGCAAACTTTGGGTACGTGCAAGCTGTTCGGGCATTTAATAAATTAGGTTAGCTAGCAATATAAATAATTAATTACGTAATTAGGTTAGCTAGCATATTTTTAATTGAAAAGTAGATTTGAATTAATAGGGGTTAACAATATTGTATCTTCAAGTTAGAAAAAGCCAATGCAACACTGTCCAATCTAATCTATAATCTAACTAGAGATGGGGAAAGCAGGGGCAAACATTCAGCAATCAAATCCAGCTCCTCAATACTATTAAGAACATCAAATTATTTACATCTAAAGGGTGCAACAAACAGTGGTTATTTACATCAAAAGTCTACTTTCCCACGCCACAGCTCCTAAGATTCCCGGTATTTGGTCAGGTCAAATGTCAGGGTCCTCGAACAGCTGAAGAAAAAAAGACATAATTTTGTTAGCGTGTTAATTTAATCTCAGTAGAATAAGAAAACAATCCATATATGATAATGTGCAAAAGTTCACCTTCTGTCTGAGTCCCTGTAAACCCCAACCAAAGCTTCAGCCTTGTCATAAAAGCTATCTTTCAATGATATCACTATACTCTGAAAACCACTGCCTTCACCATCATCCTGATTGCTCTTCCCTCCTTCACATGATTTTGAACGGATGTATCCAGCTACTTTAGAAACGTTTAAATTATCCAAAGCTGCATCAACTTCATCCAATATAAAAAATGGCGAAGGCTTGTAGCTGAAAACCATCATGCATACAGAAAATAACATCAGATTACGAATAAACAGAGATCAAAATAGCTAATCTCCCCTCATCCTCAAAAATTATCTCATACTTGGCGTCTTTCAGTGATATCACAACACTGATGCAACGGAAATCTTATGGTTATAGATAAGATGCATTTGAGTGAGATGAGAGAGAAAGAGTGCTTAACCATAAAATAACTTGATAACAGCAGGAGAGCCGAAATTTTATTTTCCAAACTGCAGGTATCTCCAATGTTAAGCTAAATAGAAGGAAATAAGGTGATATTTTCCCTAAGTTTGACTAGTTCTTGATCTAGCACAGGCATCTCCTGAATTATTATTATTAGTTGTTTGACAACAGACAACTAGTCCAAACTCATAAACAGAACATAGAGTAGGATGCTAAAATCAGGTGATCCGCACTTCAGTCACAATCAATTGAATATATTCTGCAAATTTTTAAAGAAAAAAAATATTATATAATTATAAAGGACACACCTGTGGATAGAGAAGAGTAATGTAAGTGCTGCAACTGTCTTCTCCCCACCAGAGAGCTGATCCATTTCACGAAAGCGCTTTGTTGGTGGCATAACAGTGTATTTGATGCCATGCAAATAAGGATCATCCTCATTTTCTAAGTTCAAATATGCCATCCCACCCAATGGGTGTGTATTGCTCTTCGTTAGTTGTTTGTATATCCTGTCGATATTACTAGAAATATAGTTGAAAGCTTCCATAAACAATTCATATCTGCATCCACCAAAATGAAGCCATAGGCATTATTGTTCCAACATCACAATGTGATACGCTATTTCCATAGTTCTTGCATTCAAGGTATTGTACAAAGATTTAGTATACATGAACACAGAGATAAAGTTGGAAACACATTAAAGTGCAGATTTTGTTAATTCAGCTGCTTCAGTTGCCATGAACAGGGGCAGAAGTTGAGTTTCCCATGTTTTTTATGTAGAAGCTAATATAATCTACAAAGCTAGTCAAAGAAAGGAACCATAGATTGCATACCAAAATTTCTATCAAGTATTTGTTTCACTCTTTTTAAAACAATTCAAACTTAGAGATTAAAGTCAAACCCCTGCATAATAAAATCTTACTATGTAACTAAATTTTGCAAAGGTCATCATGGTATAGAAAGTTTGCAGCACTGTACTAATAAATTAGTACCTCTTCTGCTTAATTGAATTGTAATTTTCAGCTGCTAGCTTCTCCTCCTTTCTGGCAGCTTCAAACTCTTCACTTACAGCCTTTTCCTTCTCTAACAGAACCTCATATTGGTCCAGTGCCTTCAAATTTGGAGCAGTTCTTTCAATTTCTGTGATTAGGGCATCCATTTTTTGCTTGAATTCAGCCTCAAGCCTCTCACGCTCAGAAGGTCTCTTATTCTGCAGAAGCGACCTACTTAACTGACTAAAATCAAAAACAGGGCCTGGTATTGAAGAATCAGTTTCCATGGGGTCTGGAATAGTAGGAAGAATTATGTGTTCTAGTTCACAAGTCTCCACTATTTCCTGCCTCCGTGACATCAGCTGCTCAATCTGTGTCTCCTGTAAAATCAGTAAAGAGAAGTCGATTAACATTTGTTTCAACATCACAATTTACCTACTCTTGAAGAATTTTCAAGCAAATAATTAAATGGATTAAGGAGAAAAAATCTTGACACCTTAGAATTTATCTGACGGTTCAGCTTGGATAAGCTTGTAGTAGCAGCAGAAGCCTGCTTCTCCCATTCCTGGATCTCCTTCTCACACTCTTCCAACTTGGATTTCCACTCTGTCGAAATAGGATTAGAGGAAAACAACTTCTTCAAGAAGAAATAATCATCCATATCACAAAGACAAAATCACCGTAACATTTCAGCTAATTTACACCCAAAAAATGTAGTTGAAAACACTTGAAACAATTCCAAGCTGAGACAATACTTTTAGCCAATTTCTTTGACATGTCTACATATCTTGAATTCAAGTTAATTACATACGCAACTATATAAATGAATTCGCAATTATATTTTTATATTTGTTGACAAAATAACTTGACAAATTCTTAATTTACTTGGCCAACAATTGATCGTATAGAAACATGCTCAAAAATTCATACCACGGACTTCTTCCTTCCAACGATTGATCTCACTAGTAGCTTTCTCAGTTGATGACTTGACATCAGCTTCTTTGTTCTGGATCTCTTTCAAGTCATTTTCAAAGGTAACAAGAGAAGATTCCAGCCTTGAAATTCGTGATTCCACATCACGCTTCTGCTCATACTCCAACCTGGAAATTCGAAATAAAGCAAAATAAATGGTACACAACCAGACATATTTGTCAAATACTTAAGCATATGAACAGAAAATGTCCCACAAACAGCTCAAATGATGAAAGGGAAAATAGAACATGAAAACCTTGATTTAAAATATCAATATCCAACATGACTCCTTTTTTAGGCAAATTCTAGAAATTAATTTGGTCAAAGTCAATATAACTGCAAGACACAGTAACCCAAAAGGCACCAAATATGTAACTGCTAAAAAAATAAATTACAGACACCATAATTATAATTATATAAACAAGAAATCTGACATTTTCTAGAAGAGTCGGCTAATAAAATAGTTTTGAGGTGAAGTAAAACTATCCATTGAAGAACAGTGAACTTCTTCCAACTTGTTCTCTTCCAATACAGAAGCAAACATTAATCTACAATTCAAACAAAAATTGGGGTAAACCCCCCAACAGTCTCAGAAAATTTTACAAGTTTGAAATTTTCAACACTGACTCATCAAATAAGAAAAAACTAACAGCTTCATATAGAGGCTCATTATCATGCATCGCCATGAAGATATCACTCAGCAAATCACAGGTGCAACATGCATAAAAATATACATATTCCATAAAGCAGACATAACAATAACAATATGTAATTATCCATATCCTTCCATCTATCTGGATATGTAAAATAGGGATATTGACCAGGAGAAAATTAAAAACATACTGGTACTTCAACTTAGACAGCTGACTACTCAAGTTAAGCCTTTCTTCAGCAACATTTTGGGCAGCCTTCAGCTGGTTCTCTTCATACTCACGGATATTTGCAACCCCAACAGACCGACTGAAATCTTTGTAGAGACGATCAACAATCTCATTAATCCTCTTTTCCAGCTTCTTGATTTCTGTGGTTCTCCTATCAATTACATCCTTTAACTGCAAGTGTTATTTAAGAGCAATGACATCAGAAGGGTAAAGACATTTTACAAAATAATCTAAACAGAGGGCACCATACACATGAAATTACCTTACGAAGATCAGGATTTATCCGGCCAATTTCTTCCTTGATATTACGCTTTTCCTTCCTCAAGTTGGCAAGTTTGTCATCAATGCTCCGCTGCAATGCAACTTTTCAAGGTGAACCAACTAACAAAAAGCATTTCATTGGAACATGAGTGATCAAATTAGTCAAATACAGCCATTGAAACCTTATCCTACACACTTGGATTGTATCCAAACTGTTTCGAGTTGTTTTCCTACATCTAAGATAATATCTAAAGTTAAACCACAGGCCATAAAGAGACATGAGTGAATTTCACCAATCTTCAGTAGCTGCAATTTATAGAAATAATCATCCTGCTCTTTTCTCCAACCAATGAATTCGTTCCAAGGGCTAAGTCTGTTAAATAAGTGCCATCAAGAATGTTGGACACTTTGCTCATATTAATAAATATTCTGTAGCTGCAATTCATAAAGAGTTAATCGCACATGTAATCATAAAAAATATTGCAAAATCCAATACGTATTGATAACAGTTTATGTCACAGAAAGAACCTAGTACCCACTTGCAATAATATTCCTATTCAAACCTAAAAAAGGTAATACATCAGTCATTTTACCTTCTCAATTTCAGCATACTGAATCTTCTTTTCGAGTCCAGTAATTTTCCCAGACATTTCAGACTCTCTTAGCTGCATCTCCCTAATTGAACCAAGTTCTTCCAACTCTGATTCAAACTGCTCTTTGTTTTTTTTCAGTCCTGTAGAACAGCAACACTCAATCATACAGCAAAAGAACTTCAAAATTTCACTATGACAACCAACCTTCAATCTTTTTATCATCCCACTGTTTCGACCTTGCTTCCATCCCACCAGTTGTACCACCAGTCATTGTCCCAGACTTTGTGAGCAGAATTCCATCAGTAGTTACAACTGATACAAGCACGTGAAACTCAAAATTTAATATAATATCAATTAACGATACTGAACATTTACAACTAAAAGGACAGGAAGAATTTACCCCTAAACCTCTCCCCACTCCAGCTAAGAGCCTTGGCTTCATCAAGGTCATCACAAACTAGAGTATTCCCAACAGCAAAAAGAATTGCCTTCTCCAATGACGGATCGAATGTGCAACTGCTATGTTAAGTTAACAAATCTATGACATTTATTTAGACTTATTGGTCCTCTTTGATTAGTAATAAAAAGTAATTGTTTAGATTATCTGAAAACACATCTTTTCTGAATCTTTGATTTGAAAAACTCAGTAAAATATGAGCAACATCCTTTCAAGGAAAAAGAGTCTGGTAGAACTTCGTAAGTTGTGCTCAAGTGATTGTGATAGCCAGCAATAGTGAAGAATGAAGTAGCAATCAACTCATTACTTGCTTTAAACTCCATTAATAGTTACTAAAATGAAAGTAGGAAAACAAACCATGCACATATAAAGTGTTTCATGAGTCTAATAAAGATGATCCACAGTGATTCAGAACTGCACACATGAAATGTTTTACCCTCAAAATAAACAGACAACATAAGCCAACTTAGGTAAAGGATATTGGATAACATCAAAGATCAGCTTTGCAGTACCACCTAAAGTCCGTAGCCTCTCAACGATTGGCTTAACACGCACTGACTGCAGTGGTATAAACGTTTGGGGAGGAAGCCTTTGCTCTTTCAAATACTGTACAGAACTCAAGGAAGCAATACCATAAATATAATGTAAACTCACATGTTAATTGAGATGACTAACATTTTATATGAAAATTAAATACAGAAATAGAACTTCCATTAATATTATGCAAACAATCAAACAAATCTTCCCAACTACAGATATTTTCTGTACTACATTACCATATTGTGCATCTTTAACCACTAAAAGCTTGAAATATTTACAACTTTCAAACATTGTTTAATAACTAAGAAATGTGATCATCAGGTAAAGATATCTAATTCTTTCATCATTAAAAGAGAATGAAAACATCCGTAGCATCACAGACAAGCGTAGACAAATCTCTGTCAGGGATTACTTTTCAGTAGACAGAACTTATCAGCTACACGTAATTACTCATTTATTTTGGAAGTCATAATCTTTAAGGATGTAAATTGATCAAATCAAGAGCAAAAACAACGTGCTGATATCCATGAACTAACAGAAAGACAGAAAATTTAGAGATTACCTTGATGCATTCCTTTCCTGTACTCTCATCCTCGACCACTACTGCATCCATAAATTTACCCATGGCTACAGTAACAGCAAGGTTGTACTTCTTCTGGGTTGGCCTACACAGATCAGTCATACGTCCGTGAACTCCTTGAAATAGGCGCTTGAGAGTTTCCACAGCTTGAGACAGCTTAGCATCCCTCTCAGTTTCATGCCTATCAGCCTTCAGTTCACGTAATTGATTTTCTATTTCACCAATTTTAGTCTTCAGATTATCATATTTATTCCTGTATAAACAAAAGCAGGGCAGAGCTTTTATAATGACTTATTATTTCCCGAATTTAACAAGGCATATAATACATACAAAGACATGTGACAAAATAAATTTTGTGTGAACCTCGGAGAATATATTAATATAACGAAAGAACAAATTTCACAAAGTAAACCAACGAGTTTAATAACCTGCAATCACGGTGTTTATCTTGCATCAGTCGCAGCTCCTTCTTCAGCGCCATGAGCTCCTCTTTATGTCTAGCAGAAGTCTCTATAACATTTTTCTGTCGCATTCGCATTTGCTCCTCCTGCGCATTCAGTTCATGCTCCCTATTACTCAATTGTTGAAAATTTTCTTCCAAATTCTTTTGCGCTTCAATATCAGCATGTTGTTGCCTATCCAGAACCTCTTTCTCATCTCTTAGCTTTGCAGTTTTCATTCCAGCATCCTCTTTACTGAAACATGAAATTTCCAATTATGGCCGAAAAGATTGAACAAGTTTCGATTTGTGGTAGTGGGGCAGGTATAGAATCCTAATTAGTGAATTCAATTTCCATTCACAATTTTGCAACATAATAAGTTGTGATTCACATTTAAAAAACAAATAAAAAGGCATGACTGCCATCTACCAAAATGCCCATTTTAAAATGGTAAACCAAGAAACACAAGCCTGACTTTGGGGAACCATGAGAAAGGTCAAAATCAATCATTTGGAACAACAACTTTGGAATAGAAACATGCTAATAATTCGCTACATATATGTGGTAAATTCGGCAGCATAAATTGCATATGTCACAGCATAAGCCAAAAAAAAAGGCTGAAACACAAGTCATTTCAGTCAATAATCAACTTTCCCACTCAAACACAAAACAGTTATTTCCCACTCAAACCCACTTACAGTAGTAACTATTAATGACGGTCAGAGTTTGTTCATCTCTGACCATTTAAAAGACATAAATGCCCTCTCAAACACAAAACATGCTAATTGGCCTAAAATGTCTGAAAGCCTTGCATTTTTTAAAAGAAATTGCCAGCAGTGATGTTTCCATGGTTTGCATTTAGTAACATAAGTTCATCTGTACAACTATCTAATAAGCTTGTTCTTTTCAGGAGTTATGGTTTCTTCCTTCATGACTCCTAGTAACATTTCATGCATCAAATTCAAACTAAAGCTTACTCCCAAGCCCCAAATAATCCCTATCTTAATCCCGCGTATTGAATGCTCCCTCCTAACCCCAAGAATACCTCTAAGATGAAACTTTGCATGGCAGAACTCCTTAAACAAGCATTATGCCTCATGCAACCTACCCGTTGTCCCCCTTGCTTGGACCTTCCTCTAAGGGGTTGTTGGGTAACAAGTGCTGATCCAATTTGAGTACCTCAACAGGATAGACCTTATTTATTATTAATTAGATAAATTTAATATCATTTTATTCTATTCATTTTTATTTTTATTAGAATTCTATTTTAATCTATTTATTAAAATTATCTAATTTCGATTATTATTTTAGTATAATTTTTTTTTCATTCAAGTTCCAGAAGTTTGACCCCTCCATCTAATTTTTTTTGTTTTCTTTATGTGCATTTTGACCATAAAAGACAGTTATTAAAACTCAAACCAATTTTTTTGTTCCTAGGTTTCAACAGTTTTCACTACTGAACCTAGCTCCAAGGTAAACAAGGTTTTGTCATCACAGAATAAAGAATGCAGTGGTCATAATATTGTAAATTAGGGACTAAGAAAACCTACATTCGAAAATATTCTGTAAGTTGACTGTCAAGCAATGGAAGTTTCCCAGCAGCATCTCGACTTTTTTCATTTAAATCATCTAGTTTTGCTGTCAGATCTTGTACTCCTTTCTGCAGCTCTTCTATTTCATCAGCATGTTTCCTTCTCTCTTCTCTTTTTCTATCAAGTTCCTTTCGAGTACTCTTGATTTTTGAATTTATGCGAGATCTTTCTTCATTGAATTTGAGAAGCAGAGGTTGCTGCACACAAGAAAATAAAAAAGTAAATATACCATCTATTTTTCTTCACCGAAGACCAGATAAATAATTGATATGGTAGACCAAATGATCATAGTTAAGAGTACCAATTTAAGATAATCTAGTTAACCATTTCTCAGCCATTTGGCCAAATCATTAAACAATCATAGCAAGATCCACATCATTCAACGTACATTCCACCCTCTCCCCACATCCACAGAAAAGAAAACAAGAAATGGCTTTGATACAGGTGGTAGATTTAAAGTTTCATCTTAAAGAAGCATAAAACTAAAATTACCAACAAATGTGTTCAAAAGTGCACTTGAATGGAGAGCCATAGTTCCCAACTAAATTCAATAAATCATAAATTATATTCATCCTAACGTATGTGTAAGAAAGTGATCGGCAGTTGTTGTAACTAATCAAAAAATATATATTCTAGCACAGATCAACAATGGAAATCAAAATAAATCAACAAAAAGACTTCAAACAACTCACATATTTATCGAGTCTACTTCTTTTGTCAGAAATCTTCTTCTCACACAGTGCAACCTCTTTCGAATATCTGTGTAGTTCCTTATTCTTTTCACGTTTTTTATCATTCAGATGATCTAAATCTTGCAATATATCTTGACGGCTTCTCTTATCAGCTTCAAGATCATCACTCATCTTGGTAATATCTTGTTCTATAGTATACAATTGCCATAAAAAGTGTTCTTTCTTCAAAGATTTCTGCAGAGAAGAACAGGAGAAAAATTGGGAAATAAATTCATGACAGGGCAAACAAGGCACTATATAATGAATGACAGCAGAAAAAACACGTATGCAGATATCTTAATGCAAGGCATCCCAGCAAGACAGACAGAGAAACCTTCCAGTCCATACCAGTTGATCTTGCAGGCGAAGATGCTTCTCTGCTTCTTCCTTTTGTTCTTTCTTCTGCTTCCTCTCCAACACTATTGTTTTCTTTTTCTGATAAACAAGAGCTGACTTTTCTTCAGCTCTCGCTTTTTCCTCTTCCAGAACCTCATAATTTCTCCTGAGTTCATCAGACCCAGAAATCTGCTCAAGAAGTCCAGTAAGTTCCTTGGGATTCTTTGAAGCAATGGACTCCACATCACCCTACATTTGAAAAAATATAAAAATAAAAATAATAAGATAGAGAGACCAATATATTCATTAAAAGTAACCTCTAACTTCCAAGAAACCAGCTGCACCATAATAACATAATTTAGGAGGTATAGGCAATCAGTTAAAAATAAGTTTAACTCGATCACTCTTCCTTTCTTTATCGGTCCAATTCCCCATTGCAATAACATGTGTCCATTTCTTAATGTAAAGAGAAAAGACCATTATACAAATCCAAGCACATTTCAATTTCTGACCAACCACAAGCAATTAAAAAAAAAACACATAATGGCATAACCAGATAATAATAACATTTAAATGGATAACTTTAAAAATGCATGAACTTGAACTATACTGAGAATTCTTCAACATTTAAATTTATAAATTTCACATAAAACAAGTGAATAACCTGGAAGACGAGAAAATTTCTGGCTTTAACAAGAATCCCAAGCGACCTCAACTTGCCATTATACTCATCCCAGTTAACGACTTTACCATCAATTCGATACTCGCTTGCACCTGCACTCGTAATAATTCTAGTAAACTGGAGCTCCAAACCGTTTCCCAGCAGATACACCAGTCTCACAAACGCTCTCCTACCTTTCTGCTCCTTCTCTTTATCATCGTAAGCATAAATGAGATCTTTCAACTGAGCCCCACGGAGCTGGCCAGTACGGACACCGAGAACGAAGCTTATGGCATCCATTAGGTTGGATTTCCCAGCTCCATTCGGCCCGATTATTGCGGTGAAGTCGGAGAACGGGCCGATAGTTTGGAGTCCCTTGTAGGACTTGAAGTTTTCGAGTTCCAAACGGTGGATTCTGCCTGGTGAGAGTAAGGAGGGCATCGTTTTAGGGTTTTACAAGTGTGTGGAAGTGAGAATTAGGGTTACGTGGGAACTGGGAGTGGGAATTCCACTGAACAAAGAAGAATATTTCCGTTCAAGGGTTTCTTAAAAGAGAAGGGGAAAAAATTTGGGGGAAAATTTTATGGAGGCATAGTGAGAGTAAACATTCCCAACTGCACGATAGGAAATGGCGCTTCTTTTTGGTGTCTTTGATTCTTTTTTGCAATAAATATCCTGATGCGTTCCGTCTGTCTTAGCGCTTACTTTTGACTTTTCTAATACTGTTCTATGGTATGTAAATATAAAATAATAAATAAAAAAATTTCTATATAATTACAAATCCGAAAAAAAAAAATCTTATTTCATAATTATAGTAAAATTTCTTTATAGTCATAATGGTGCTTTATAGTCATAATGGTACGAACTAATTAATTTTATTACCATAAAAAAGTTAAAATTTAATAGAGGTATAATTATAAAAATTTCTTATTTTATAATTCATTTTTTAGTAGTACAGTATTAGGATTTCAATTTATGTTTTAGTAGTATTATGATTTTAATTCAATACTTCAATTGTCTACTATTTAAACGAATAAAAGATCTTGTCTTATAATTGACAAAGATAAGTGTTCTTGATAAAATTGTAAATACAATTGCTGCATGGTTAAACTGATATGAAGCCACAGACAATTGCTAATTGTTTTAAGAATTACAAAATTAAGATCCCTATGTCGATAAATTACAAGTTATAAATAAAATAGATAAAAATAATCAAAGAGTCATTGTAGAATTGAGTGATCAGATTTAACAATTTCACTACACTAATTGAATGGATATTAATGTCTTGCTCAATCATTCAAATGAGCAATAAGTCATGTATACTTTAACTGAAGAAGAAATTATTACTACAATTACACAAAAAAAAAAAAAATCTTGAGGATGATAATACAGAAATATAAAAAGTTTCGTGCCAAGAAGCTCCGATCATACTTGAGAAGCTATAAATATTTTGGCTTCAATAAGAACATATTCATGCTAGCGAGTACATTACTCGCAAGTTAAAAGATGTGGTAACAATTCTAAAGCATAAATCATTCTCCAAAACAATTTTAAATAAATATTTTATTTCATCTTAAATCTTGAATGTAACAAATAATTTTTTTTTTGTAATATGCATATAATTATTACTATGTGGAGACAATTTTTCTTAAGACAAGAATTAAAAATATTATAACTTATTACAATGTGGAGTTTATTCTTATTTATAATTATCCCAAATTAAGAATATAATTTTTTATCCTTATATAGAATATTAATACGGAGAGATTTGACTGTATAATCCTTTTTCTTATTATAAAACGTATACTTTTCGGATAATTACTGAAAAAAAAAAAAATCGAAGTACAGTTTAAGAAATCATATTTTTCACGGTATTCATAACACTCTCAGCTCTCAAGCCGTAAGTAAATGACTTGAAAATTGTTTTTTCAGTAGTAGCAAGAAGTTGAAATTTTCCAAATTTGTCCGCTACTTGATGTGATAATATTCACAGACAGAGTCGGAAGAATATAATTATACTAGCATGTAATAATATCCAGTAATTGATAAACTAAAAGTCGTTTAAGAGGAGGATACATAGACACCGTAATCTTAATTACATGAAATTCTATTAACTAAAACAATCTCATAACTAATGATTAGTTATGTCATTACAAGGCAACCAGAGTTAATCAAACAAGTACACTGTAAAGCTTACACCAAAGCATCCCTCTTATCACCCGCTTTGTTATTCAACACCTCTCTTAACTGTGCTGGATTCGGTACTCTCCCCTTTTGAGGACTCCGCTGCCTTGGTCTTGTTTTCATTCACTGCCGCTCTGGTCTTGTTTTCATTCACTGCCGCTCTGGTCTCGTTTTCATTCACTACTGCCTTGGTCTTGTTTTCATTCACAGCAGCTCTGGTCTCGTTTTCATTCAACGCTGCCTTGGACTCGTTTTCATAAACCGCTGCTCTGGTCTCGTGTTCATTCACTGCTGCCTTGCTCTCGTGTTCATTCACTGCTGCCTTGCTCTCGTGTTCATTCACCGCTGCCTTGGTCTCATTTTGAGCTCCGACATGAGGAGGCAATTTGATGTCAGTGAGAACAGAGCTTTCAGGTTGTTCTCCAGATTTGAGAGCAGCTTCTAGTTCCTCATATCTGGAAATGGTTTGTAGCAGCTGATCATGAAGATTAAGCGCCTCAAAGAGCATACCTTCATCGTCAGTAGTGCTTTCTATAATCCTCTGAATGCCAGGCTGAGACTCCTTGCACTTCTCAAGCATGCTCACAGTCAGGTCATCCTGCAACCATATAAAAAGTTTTCTTGGCTGATGATTTTACAATTTCTTGGAGTGACAAGAGAACCTTCCGCTAGGTAGATGAGAAGTCTACACGCCAACTAGATCCCAGGGAAATAATAAACTACTTTCTGATGTGGCTATAAACATACATTTTGTCTGAAACATAATTTCACATGCATGCACACAGAACATGTTTGGGGAAAAAGATTGAGAATATAAAGTTGTGAATCCCTATTTTTACACACTTCAACCAGGCATATACTTATTTGTTTGGTAGAATTCAAAAACATTTACAGAAATATTATAAAAACATGGCTTTATATGTAAGATGCCAAAACGATCTTTCTGGAAAGGATGCAAATTACTGATTCGTAGACAACAAACTCTAAAAATAATGAGAGTAAAATACTATCCAAAGTGTGTAGAATCATTGGATATTAAGCTATAACAGAAAAGCTGATGAAGGTGAATGAGTAATACTTCAATGTAAAAAGTTAAGTGATTACCTTAATGGGTTTTGGCTCCGTTTCACTATTCAACAAACTGGAGAGCAGATCAAGGCTATTCTGAGTTATAACAAGAAATTCCTTCTTCTCATCAACTGAGAGGCTCCCAAAATTATAGGTCAAACCACCATGATCTCCACTCTGCAATCCAGTGTCAGGAACAGGATAGCTTTCAGGAGACAGTGGCTCTTGATGAACATATGACTCCAAGGAGTACTGCATGGGCGGCATATTCCCATCTTCTACTGGTGGAGGCACACTTCTTTCTTTCAAGCTCTGCCATATCCCCAAAATAAGATAAACAATTGAGTTACTAACGTAATGGCAACACCAATATCTTTCAAATGCATATAAACCATGCGCACAATGGTAACTGACTATGACTAAAAAATGTAGACATCTCTGAGGTGAACAAAAAAAGGATATCCTGAATAGGGCACCATGGATGAACTAAAATTGGAAGTCAATATGACATTCAGCAAGTTCTATTGAAATCCACAATTTTGCTCAGTAAAGTTCTTAAAGTGAAGTTTCCAAGTTTATTCACACAAGTTGACAACAGTTAGGAGTGTCCCTGAACTACAACTAGGGAATGCAACCGTATGAAGTGGGGTTATCTGAAAACAACCTTGCAAGTTGCAAATGCTCAACAAAATCTGCCTAATAGTATAAAAGAAAGTGTTTAATTTATCCACTCCCACCAATACTGAGATAAAACTTCAAAGACAAGCCAAGCACTATGCATATTGAAGGTTGCATCCATCGGAATCGATCTTTAAATATAACAAGGAGGTAATAAAAATAAAATAAAAAAACTAAATGGTCAATGTACTAAGTACATATCTATAAGTAAACCTACATTTAGAACTTGAACCTTGAGTACCAACAAGTGTTGCATATAATATGTAACAATAACAAGACAAGTAATCAAGTTTAGGAAGAGGACTCACCATATAAGTCTGGCGAAACACTGGAAGATATGCCACATCCTCGGACTCTCCCCAAGCCCTAATCAACTGCAAAGCTCGATTTCTATTCCCCTGATCCGTCTCTGGATTCTGTATCATCCTAACCATCTCATCCAACACCTTCTCAGACGCGACCTCAGAGAAAACCTTTTCACAGTTCATAGTACATGCCTCCAACAAATCAAGACTCAATCTCAGGCTCACAACACTCTTACCCGATATCTTTCTCTTTATTGTCCTAACAATCTCTGACCCACTAAACTCCTCACTGTTGATCATCGCGCATATCCTCATATTCATGCCCCAGTTAGGCTCTTCCAAAGTTTCTAACGTGGCCTCATCAACCATCTTTGATTCCGGTGTCGGGGTTTGTAAAATTTCCTTCACTTTTCCACTAACAATTCGTCCCATTTGAGCCCCACCAGTCTTAATTCTTTCCCCTAATTGAGCTAGTTTAAGCTTGTCCATCACTTTCTAAAGCTCTCAAAACTCGAAATCAGCAACAATAATAAAACCTATATTTGATTAAATCAAACTTTAGCAAAGTATGAGCATCTCCAAGCCAAACATTATTAAAAATATACATTCAACATATCAGATAAAAATCAATAAGAAAAAATATTTTTTTTCCTTTTGGCCGCTGAGAAAATGAATCAATGAATAAAATACAATTCTTCCTTTTGGCTGCTGAGAAAATGAATCGATGAATAACAATTTATCGAAACCCCACACCCGCTGTTTTGTTGTTATAAAAAAAAACGAAAACACAACAACTTTATTCCACTACTTTCTCGGCAACCAAACAGACAAAAACGAAATACAATTACTTAGCGGAACAAAATTTGAGCATTTAGACAAACCTCCGTTTAGCTCCAATTTGTAGATTTGTGAAAACGACGAAGTTTAGTTTATTTAATTAGGGCTTCGAATTGAACTGGCCTTTTCATTTTGTTAGCCAGCGAGAGATGAGAATGGTCCAATTTTATGATACTCGTGGCGTTTGCATGCCCCCACGTGGTTCTTGTGGGCTCCACTGCTAATTTGATACCGGAATAAATAAAGAATTTCTCTACTTGCTAAAAAAATCTTGTTGTATAACTATACACCAAATACTGCTTCATCTACGTTAAATATATACAAATTTGGAATTAATTCCTTATATAGCCCTCAAATTAAAAAATAACTCATCTCTAATTATCATTGTAAATAAGACTTTTTATGCTTACGATTTTACCCTGCTAAAAATTGACTTCACTTTTCTCTTTCTTCTTTTCTAATTTTTCTGTTATTATGCTTACAACTAAATTATATAAACATACAAAAAACAAATAATAGAGTAATTATTTTCAATGTTTTAAAACCCAACTCGGGGTGAAACCCGGCAAAGCTTCCGGGTCCCAGGTTGACCGGTTGACAAAAATTTTTAAAATTTAGCAAATATACCCCTAAAAATTTTTAAGTCCCTATAGGTTTGAAATTTATCAAGCATACCCCAACTGCAAATCGACCGGTGACTGATTAGCAGCAGCGACACCCTAGATGCAACCCCAATCGTCCCTTGAGCCCATTTCCATCAAAATATACCCAAGATCTGGCCGAAATAGATTTGATTTCGGCCAAATCTCACCGACGTCGACGTCGGCATTCCAGGCCAGATCCCATCAATTCCGACAACAACAACCCTCCCCATCACCCCATAATTACTCCCTTTTCCCTCCCGACCAAAACCCACCTCACCCCACCCCCATTAGCCTCGTCAATCGCCGGAAAAATCTCATCATTGCCGCTGCTAGTTTTGTTCGATTTTCGGTCGATTTACTACCAGAAATCAAATCTTTCACCACCATTACAGTCACCGAAAATTTCTTTTCAAAAGCCCCAACATTCTGACAGTTAATTGTTCCCCAATCATCACCGAAAATCCTAGGGTATTGGGTGAATAGGAAAAAATTAAACTCAGCCCATTGAAGCTTTCGGGTCCCGGTTCAACCGGCCGAGCCGGGCCGGGTTTTAAAACATTGGTTATTTTACATAAATTTTGTGTAATTTTTATTTATTTGAATGACTCAGTTGTAAACAAAACATTATAGATGCTTAAAATATTGTTAGATATATGTTTTTTATTGTTTATATATCATATCATGATTGAGAGAGTGAAATTGACTTTAGTTTATATATATTTTAACATTAAATTCTTAATTAAAAAAAAAAAAGACCACAATATTCTGCATTTCAATTTTAAATCTTTTTATAGGTTTTGTTTACGAAGTCATTTATAAATTGATTCTTTTACTTTGATTTTTTAAAATGATCAATAAAGTAAATTTCTCAAAATTTGGTTGATGTTGACATTTTCCAATTTATAATGGTAAAATTTTAAATCACGTACATTTTTCACGGTATTCATAACACTCTCAGCTCTCAAGCCGTAAGTAAATGACTTGAAAATTGTTTTTTCAGTAGTAGCAAGAAGTTGAAATTTTTCAAATTTGTCCGCTACTTGATGTGATAATATTCACAGACAGAGTCGGAAGAATATAATTATACTAGCATGTAATAATATCCAGTAATTGATAAACTAAAATTCGTTTAAGAGGAGGATATATAGATACCGTAATCTTAATTACATGAAATTCTATTAACTAAAACAATCTCATAACTAATGATTAGTTATGTCATTACAAGGCAACCAGAGTTAATCAAACAAGTACACTCTAAAGCTTACACCAAAGCATCACTCTTAACACCCGCTTTGTTATTCAACACTTCTCTTAACTGTGCTGGATTCGGTACTCTCCCCTTTCGGGGACTCCGCTGCCTTGGTCTTGTTTTCATTCACTGCCGCTCTGGTCTTGTTTTCATTCACTGCCGCTCTGGTCTCGTTTTCATTCACTACTGTCTTGGTCTTGTTTTCATTCACAGCGGCTCTGGTCTCGTTTTCATTCACTGCTGCCTTGGTCTCGTTTTCATAAACCGCTGCTCTGGTCTCGTGTTCATTCACTGCTGCCTTGCTCTCGTGTTCATTCACTGCTGCCTTGCTCTCGTGTTCATTCACCACTGCCTTGGTCTCATTTTGAGCTCCGACATGAGGAGGCAATTTGATGTCAGTGAGAACAGAGCTTTCAGGTTGTTCTCCAGATTTTAGAGCAGCTTCTAGTTCCTCATATCTGGAAATGGTTTGTAGCAGCTGATCATGAAGATTAAGCGCCTCAAAGAGCATACCTTCATCGTCAGTAGTGCTTTCTATAATCCTCTGAATGCCAGGCTGAGACTCCTTGCACTTCTCAAGCATGCTCACAGTCAGGTCATCCTGCAACCATATAAAAAGTTTTCTTGGCTGATGATTTTACAATTTCTTGGAGTGACAAGAGAACCTTCCGCTAGGTAGATGAGAAGTCTACACGCCAACTAGATCCCAGGGAAATAATAAACTACTTTCTGATGTGGCTATAAACATACATTTTGTCTGAAACATAATTTCACATGCATGCACACAGAACATGTTTGGGGAAAAAGATTGAGAATATAAAGTTGTGAATCCCTATTTTTACACACTTCAACCAGGCATATACTTATTTGTTTGGTAGAATTCAAAAACATTTACAGAAATATTATAAAAACATGGCTTTATATGTAAGATGCCAAAACGATCTTTCTGGAAAGGATGCAAATTACTGATTCGTAGACAACAAACTCTAAAAATAATGAGAGTAAAATACTATCCAAAGTGTGTAGAATCATTGGATATTAAGCTATAACAGAAAAGCTGATGAAGGTGAATGAGTAATACTTCAATGTAAAAAGTTAAGTGATTACCTTAATGGGTTTTGGCTCCGTTTCACTATTCAACAAACTGGAGAGCAGATCAAGGCTATTCTGAGTTATAACAAGAAATTCCTTCTTCTCATCAACTGAGAGGCTCCCAAAATTATAGGTCAAACCACCATGATCTCCACTCTGCAATCCAGTGTCAGGAACAGGATAGCTTTCAGGAGACAGTGGCTCTTGATGAACATATGACTCCAAGGAGTACTGCATGGGCGGCATATTCCCATCTTCTACTGGTGGAGGCACACTTCTTTCTTTCAAGCTCTGCCATATCCCCAAAATAAGATAAACAATTGAGTTACTAACGTAATGGCAACACCAATATCTTTCAAATGCATATAAACCATGCGCACAATGGTAACTGACTATGACTAAAAAATGTAGACATCTCTGAGGTGAACAAAAAAAGGATATCCTGAATAGGGCACCATGGATGAACTAAAATTGGAAGTCAATATGACATTCAGCAAGTTCTATTGAAATCCACAATTTTGCTCAGTAAAGTTCTTAAAGTGAAGTTTCCAAGTTTATTCACACAAGTTGACAACAGTTAGGAGTGTCCCTGAACTACAACTAGGGAATGCAACCGTATGAAGTGGGGTTATCTGAAAACAACCTTGCAAGTTGCAAATGCTCAACAAAATCTGCCTAATAGTATAAAAGAAAGTGTTTAATTTATCCACTCCCACCAATACTGAGATAAAACTTCAAAGACAAGCCAAGCACTATGCATATTGAAGGTTGCATCCATCGGAATCGATCTTTAAATATAACAAGGAGGTAATAAAAATAAAATAAAAAAACTAAATGGTCAATGTACTAAGTACATATCTATAAGTAAACCTACATTTAGAACTTGAACCTTGAGTACCAACAAGTGTTGCATATAATATGTAACAATAACAAGACAAGTAATCAAGTTTAGGAAGAGGACTCACCATATAAGTCTGGCGAAACACTGGAAGATATGCCACATCCTCGGACTCTCCCCAAGCCCTAATCAACTGCAAAGCTCGATTTCTATTCCCCTGATCCGTCTCTGGATTCTGTATCATCCTAACCATCTCATCCAACACCTTCTCAGACGCGACCTCAGAGAAAACCTTTTCACAGTTCATAGTACATGCCTCCAACAAATCAAGACTCAATCTCAGGCTCACAACACTCTTACCCGATATCTTTCTCTTTATTGTCCTAACAATCTCTGACCCACTAAACTCCTCACTGTTGATCATCGCGCATATCCTCATATTCATGCCCCAGTTAGGCTCTTCCAAAGTTTCTAACGTGGCCTCATCAACCATCTTTGATTCCGGTGTCGGGGTTTGTAAAATTTCCTTCACTTTTCCACTAACAATTCGTCCCATTTGAGCCCCACCAGTCTTAATTCTTTCCCCTAATTGAGCTAGTTTAAGCTTGTCCATCACTTTCTAAAGCTCTCAAAACTCGAAATCAGCAACAATAATAAAACCTATATTTGATTAAATCAAACTTTAGCAAAGTATGAGCATCTCCAAGCCAAACATTATTAAAAATATACATTCAACATATCAGATAAAAATCAATAAGAAAAAATATTTTTTTTCCTTTTGGCCGCTGAGAAAATGAATCAATGAATAAAATACAATTCTTCCTTTTGGCTGCTGAGAAAATGAATCGATGAATAACAATTTATCGAAACCCCACACCCGCTGTTTTGTTGTTATAAAAAAAAACGAAAACACAACAACTTTATTCCACTACTTTCTTGGCAACCAAACAGACGAAAACGAAATACAATTACTTAGCGGAACAAAATTTGAGCATTTAGACAAACCTCCGTTTAGCTCCAATTTGTAGATTTGTGAAAACGACGAAGTTCAGTTTATTTAATTAGGGCTTCGAATTGAACTGGCCTTTTCATTTTGTTAGCCAGCGAGAGATGAGAATGGTCCAATTTTATGATACTCGTGGCGTTTGCATGCCCCCACGTGGTTCTTGTGGGCTCCACTGCTAATTTGATACCGAAATAAATAAAGAATTTCTCCACTTGCTAAAAAAATCTTGTTGTATAACTATACACCAGATACTGCTTTATCTACATTAAATATATACAAATTTGGAATTAATTCCTTATATAGCCCTCAAATTAAAAAATAACTCATCTCTAATTATCATTATAAATGAGGCTTTTTATGCTTACGATTTTACCCTTCTAAAAATTCACTTCACTTTTCTCTTTCTTCTTTTCTAATTTTTTTTTTTTTTGTCTTCGTCCTTCCTTAAAAGCAAAATTATGTTTATAACTAAATCGTACTAACATACCAAAAACAAATAATAGAGTAGTCATTTTATATCAATTTTACGCAATTTTTATCTATTTGAATGACTCGGTTATAAACAAAATATTATTGCTTCTTAAAATATTTTTACAGATACATTTTTTTATTGTTTGTATATACACCCCTAAGTGTATATTATGTTAATACAAATACAATCTTATAGGAAAAGAAAAATTGTCTTTTATAGATAAATAACAATAAAATTACACTTACAATTTTTTCATACAATTTTGAGGTGATAACTCGCGATTGATCAGTTTGTATTTAGACAGATAAGACCCATTGTAAGCTGACTAATCACGAGCTACCACATCCAAGGTTGTATGTAAAAGTTGTAAATGTAGTGCTGCTCAAAGAATATACAGTAGAACCTCACTATAGTGATACTCTATATAAGAATAACCTCAATGTAGTTATAAAAAGATATGGTCCCAACTTGAGTTAGTTATAAATAAGAATAAATTTCACATTGTAATAAGTTATAATTTATTTGCCTCTACATATATATATATATATATATATATATATATATTGTTACCATATCTTTTATCTTGCAGATACATAATAAGTCACTAGCATGGATACCTTTTTGTTGAAGCCAAAATAATTATAATTTCTCAAGCATGTTTAAAACTTCTTGGCATGAAACTTTTGGTATTTCTAGACTATCATCATCGGGATTATCTTCTTTCTCTTATTGTCTAATTCCAGTAATGATTTATTTTTCAATTAAAGCATAAACGAATTATTGCTCATTTCGATTATTGAAGAAGACATTAATATCAATTTGATTAGTGTTGTGAAGTTGTCAAATTTGATTACTAAAACACATGAATTATCAAAACAATAATTTTTGAATCAAAACAATTAGTCTAACTATACCTCTATTAAATTATAACCTTCTCATGACAATAAATTTAATTGGTTCCAACATTATGATTATAAAGAGATTCTATTGTATTACATTTACGAAGTTCATGTACAAAAATATATGTATAAAGTGATGTTTCATATCAATCATGATATATAAAGTGATATGTCATATCAATTATGATACAGGTATTTTTTTCTACCAGGACTTTGTAATTGTAATATTCCTTTTTAGTCTTTATAAAATATTGAAAATATCTACTTTGATGAGATTAATATTATTATACTCTACTCAGGCGATTGAACTTGACCCTATTAAACTAGACAACTCGAGTTTATTCAATTATTTTTGGGTTTGTTTATCAGTTCTCCAAAAAGTTAATTTTCAACCTAATTTGAATGGACGCAATTTTTTATCTTTCTTTATGCATTAAACATACCTTTGACAGTTCATATATATTTTAACACTAAATTCTTAAAAAAAAAAAAAAAAAAACCACAATATTCTGCATTTCAATTTAAAATCTTCTTATAGGTCTTGTTTACGAAGTCATTTGTAAATTGATTATCTTTTACTTTGATTTTTTAAAACGATCAATAAAGTAAATTTCTCAAAATTTGGTTGATGTTGACATTTTCCAATTTATAATGGTAAAATTTTAAATCACATTGCCAATTTATAATGTAATATATAATATTGATTTCCATGACATTCTTTTATACATTAGAATGTTATTTTAAAACTTTGAGTAATGTTACATTTATACCACTCTTTTACATAATTTTTATTACATCATGATGTAGCATATATCACAATCACATAAATTTTTAATTATTTTAATTTTTTAATGTTATAATAGAATTTGTGTGGTTATAACATATACCACATCATGATGTAATAAAAATTGTATAAAAGAACGGTGTAAACGTAACATTACTCTAAAACTTTTTTGGTGAGAACTTGTGTTAGGCCAAACATTGGGTGGGAACATGTCGGTTGCCCTACAATAAAATAATAATCAACTTATGGTGATCATATTTAAAAAACAGGAAAAGAATACTTAACCATTTTGATGATTTTTTTTTTTTTTTTTTTCAAAGACTAATATCTACCTAAATCTAATATAAAATATTTTTTCCGTGAAATTATCAATAATATCTCATGCCAATGCCAGTCTACTTGTCAATAATGTATATGTATTCCAAATGTTATGTACTAATTAATATTTGTTCTAATATATGAAAGGACGTGGATAAATAAATAAATACGAAGATAATCTATTTCCTTTATTAATAAATACACATAATCGTAATTACCATGTTGTGGAAAATACAATCTCGTTTAACCTTATAAAATGTAACAATAATACGAGACGTTAAATTGTAACATCCAATACCATATTAAAAATAAACCATAATCTTTTATAAACAAATCTTACACTGTTTAATAACATGTGTCATCAATTGTCTGACAGGGACTATCGTGACATTTTATGATTTTATTGGATGAACTAATTAATACTTTCACCGAACCTTGGGGACGAAAAATTATTAACTCTAAAATTGGAACAATATTCTCTGAGAATTTTAACTTATATATGTAAAGTTATATGTATCCCTAAATTATTGTCACACTTTTTTTTTTTTTTTTGAGTGTATCCTGTATTCAAAAATAAAAGAACAATAATTTGTACTCAGACATATTTTTTATAACTATTTTTAATTCTGAAAATAGATTAACTTTGATTGGATAAAAAAAATAAAATCTGTCAACAGATGAGTCATGCCTTATTAATGGAATTACTTTATAGGTCTAACGACCTACACATACCCAAGGTTTGCTGTAACGACAAAGTAGTATCCAAAAGGTTTTGAAACGATAAATAGGTACCTTCCGTCATATACTGCTAGTGATTTTTGTTTGGTAATAGTGAAAAGACTAGAATACCTTTAAAAGTTTGATATTTTAGTTTTTTATAAATATAAAAATTTCTAAAAAACCTCATAATTTTGCTAATTTAACTAAACACCCAATATATAATTTTTTTGTAAAATAACAAAAACACCCCCACCACCCGCAGTGCCAGATTCTGGCCACCATCGCCGGAATCTGACTGGCAAATTGCGTTACGACATAAACCCGTCAGATCAGTGTCATAATGCGTCGATCTGGCCGTTTCCGGCAAGATCCGCCATGGATCTAGCCGGAAAAGGCTAGATCGACCGTCGACGCGTTACGACATAGATCCGACGGGTCTGTGTCGTAACGCAATTTTCTGGCCAGATTCTAGCGATGGTGGCTGGAATCTGGCACTGTGGGTGGTGGGGGTATTTTTGTCATTTTACAAAAATTTTATATATTGGGGTGTTTAGTTAAATTAGTAAACCTATGGAGTTTTTTTAGAAATTTTTAAATTTACAAAAAGAAATTTTTAAATTTACAAAAAACTAAAATATCAAACTTTCAAGGGCATTCTAGTTTTTTCACTATTACCAAACAGAAATCACTAATAGCACATGATGGAGGGTATCTATTTGTCATTTCAAAACCTTTTGGGTACTAATTTATCGTTACGATAAACCTTGGATATGTGTAAGTCATTCGGCCTTACTTTATAAATCACCATTAATTTTCAGTATACCCTTTAAAAACATTTCATATGTAAAATATGTATCGTTATACGCTCAAATTCATAAAATTAAATAAAAGTTCAATGAACGTTTTTAGAAGGAGAGTATAGATTAAATATTTTATTTTTTCATAAGAATGATTTATTATGGTATAAAATTACAGAAGTGACAGACCAAATTAATTAATAAATACAAAAAGAAGTTTTAAGGGTTTAACAGTAGTGAATGCGGAGAGTCCAAAACACCACAGCCAGTCTAAATTCAAAGCCGTAGCTTCGATAGGCAATGGTTTCTCTATCGACTTGGTTTCGATACGTGTCGCACAAGCTCGAGTATTCCGTCTCTATCAGCTGGAAGGTCTTTCTGAATCTTTTCCCTTCGATTTTCCCATTTTAGTTTTTGTTGTTGTTGTAACTCTCCATTCTGGATTTTCAAGTTGCTATCTGTAGTTTGTTGTGTTTTCGGGCCAGTTTCTGAATTAAATTATTTTAGATCTAGTTTTTGCTTTTCTTATCTCTGTTAAATTTTCTCTTTTTATGTTTGAGATTGACATGGTGATGTGGTTACTTGACATTCTAGGGCTTATTATTGAATGTGTTTCATAGCTCGTTTTATAATTGTGAAGGGTATTTATATTGTCAAGTTTTATGGGAGATTGTTAGACTGCTAATGTAAAGATTGCAACGTAGCTTCAGATTTGACTAGTTCACTGTGTGATTATTAGAGCTTTGTATGAAACTGGGTTTGTAGTTAAAATGATAAAATTGATATTGGAATAAGAGTTTTCTGGCTAAATGGAAGGACTGAAATGCCTTTGTGTGTGGATACTAATTTTTCAATCCCTTCGGATAGTTTTGCACTTAGCACATTCTTTAGCGGGGAAGACTGTTATTGTCAAAAACATTATATAGTGTATTTAGAATAACTTTGGCATCAAAAGCAGATATAATTAAATTGATGCTAGGAGACAAGCAAGGGATACATTTCTTTTATGGTTTGATTAATTCAGCTTGTAGAATTTGGGTTGAATAATTAATGTTTTTTATTCCAATATCAATCTTCTGGCTTGCTATAATTGACTAAATTTGTAGTTTGATATGATCATTGGAGAATACATGGTATTTAAGAAGGTAGAAATAATTATTACTGTAGTCTGTTAAGGTGAACTTGGTCACCCGAATTATTCTAATGTATGCAAAATTTGTAAGTTGCATAAAAACAAATTGATCAATATATATCAATAACATAGTTGTGTACAGTGAAAGGTGAGCCTGAGGATGGGAAAATGAGGACCAAGCCTACATTTTGTTCTCCTCATGTAGTGGATTGCTATAAAATTGTAACTTTTTAGAGTTTTGTCAGAAGCTTGGTAGTATAACATTTTAGCAGAAAAAATTCAAACTTTTGGGTCTAGAAATGGAAAAAAAAAAAAAAAAGAACAAGAAAAAAGAAAAATGCTTATAGAACCGGATATTCAAGGTCAACAGGTGGTTTGTATGCTTTCTGTCATGCTTTCCAGCTGGTTCTTCTGCCTCTGAATTTTAGCTTGCTTCTCTATATGCACAGCTTTGGTTAAAACTTCAGATAGTGGTTCTTAGAATTATTTTTATTAGATTTTCCTAACATATTCTTCCATGTGAAGCAGAACTATAAGCAAGGTCATATCAGAGACATAGAATATCTTGATTCTATTGGGAAATATTTATTTCAGGGAAAGTTGACCTATTTACACTGGAATAAAGGAGAGGAGATGGCCCCAGTTATAGGGGGGCAAGGTGGAACTCTTCTCGTACGGAAGTTACCATTTGTAGATCCAAAGTAATGCGAGTTATCTTTCCCTTTTCCCTAATAATTTTAGGAATGTGTTTTATTTTATTCTTTGTGTGTGAGTGGCATATTTATACCTTGGTATCTTATTCTCCAACAGAATCTCTACATTTATTATATAAAGACTTCAGTTTTATTTTTTGAAAGATTTTCATCTCCCTATTCTTTTTGTTTGACAGTCGTGTTTATATTGGAGATGTTGTGGTGTTGAAGGACCCGGAGAAATCAGACAACTACCTAGTAAGACGGTTAGCTGCTGTTGAAGGGTATGAAATGGTGTCTACTGATGAGAAAGATGAGCCTTTTGTTCTTGAAAAGGATCAATGCTGGGTGTTGGCTGACAATGAAAACATAAAGCCGAAGGTATTTGCCCTTTTTATTTGAATTCTTAATTAATTGTATTCTACCATATTTCTGCTATGCTTTTTGGATTACCTCGTTTCTGTCTACTATGTAGACGTTACATAACTCTTGGTCTTGACATCAGAAAGAAAATTCACCAGGGTGAAATTATTATGTTTTTCAGCAATATGTAGAATACTAGGGAATAATATCATCAGTAATTGGAAGTAAGTAGCATGGTTCAGAATCTGGAAGCTATGGTTTATAGCACTCCTTCCCTAAATAGAAAGGCAAAAGAACTAAATACGCAGGTTGTATTGCTAGGAAACAACATTTGGATAGAATTAAATCCCAGAACCAAACTTTGCATTTGCGCTTTCCTCTGCTTGAACTTTGTTAAATCAAGAGATGGGATATGCATGGAAATGTCAGCAGGGGTGCAAACCAAATAAGTAGGTCACTTTGCTGGGGAGCACAAGAGGGTAAACTTAAAAAAGAAAATAGAAACTAGTGCTTTGTGCCATTACCATATTGCTTGACTTTTAAATGCTTGAATAGAACCTGATTAACTTCTCTTTCTCATTTGGATTATTTGGATTTGTTTTCCTTTATTGTCTGAGTGACAGGAAGCCAATGACAGTCGAACCTTTGGTCCAGTTCCCATGACAAATATAGTTGGAAGAGTTCTTTATTGCCTTCGGACAGCTGTGGATCATGGCCCTGTCCTGAACAGGTGAGCTGCTCAGTCCATTTTACTACAAACTTGGTTCAAGTACACCAGGCTAATTTTTGTGATCTTTGAATATTTTGTGTTCCTGGACCAGTCATTTGAGCATGCGACAGGATTCACCAGTGATGGAGGTGGAACTGGATGTGGAAGATATGGTGAAAAATCACAAAGCATAGACTCTGCCCTCACAGAGCACTGACTCCTTTGGTTTGTATTGATTGTCTTTTCTTGCTTGTTGTACTCATTAGACATCTGATTAAGTACCAAGGGAATAATAAAAGGCCATCTTTAGGTTCATCTCTTATGGGAGGTGCTGTATTTATGGTTATCCTCGACCAGGTGTGGCTGTTGGGTAATCTGAGTCTTTCCTTCAGATTGGCGAATACAAAGAGACATGTCTTCTTGAGTTTCATCTATGTTTAACATTGTGTTAGAACATTATGTAGTTTCAAAGGCTAGCCAAGGAACAGGAAAAAAAAAAACAATTGAAGAAAAACCAATGCGTTAACATCAGAGAAAAAACATCGATTTCTTGATTGATTATTTTGTCAGTAGAAGCTTTTGATGAATCTATTTCACTTAAAGCACGTATTACATCTTGCAAAATAAGTGCATAATTTTTATAGCTTAGTCTGTTCTCTTTTTCAAAATAATGTAAATCTGAAGCCTCAAGGTATGGTTCTCAAGTCTCAACGGGTGTCTGTTTGAAGTCCTTTACATATAACATCGTTGAGATTATCATGCATTCTTTAAAACTTGGCACAGGAGAGAGAGAGAATGCCGCAAAATAAACGCGGTCAAGTTACCTTTCAGGCTTTCACCAGTATCAGGTATTCAGGTGATCAATTAACACTTTTGGACCAAGTGTAAACCATATTATAAACAAGATAATGTCGAGCCTCTTAAATTTAAAATAAGAATAATGCTACAGTCATCGGGAGTAGTGTACTGAATTTGTGCATCAAATGATGTGGCGAAATTTTGACCGTTGATTAATATTAAGTTATAATTAATCAACGGTTAGGATTTTGTCACGTTATTCGGTGCACTATTCACCGTGTCTATTATTTTCCTTAAAATAAAAAATGGGTATTACAAATGAATTAATTTCTTTAAAAAAAAAAAAGATAATGTGTTTGGTTAGTTGGAATAAATTGGTAGGTATGTTGTATTAATATGTTTGGTTATGAAGAATAAATTGGTAAGTATGTTATTTAAATTATTAAATTGTCATTTTTTTAAATATTAATATAATATTATTTTTATTCTTAATTTTTAAATAATTTCATTTAACCCCTAATATTTTAAATTTAGCTAAAACACTCTAGTTTTATNGAAAGTTTTCTTTTTGGAGAGCTTTTGAAAGTTTACATCAAAAGAGAATGAAAGAGAAAGTTTTAAAATTGGCTTGGCAAAGCTTGGTTCACATTACACGAATGCTTCTAATTTATAGAAAACCTTATCTCACTATAGCATCACATGAATACTATTGAGTGAATATTTTAATATATTAATCAACGATCAGGATTTTGTCACGTCATTCGGTGCACTACTACCGATGTCTATTATTTTCCTTAAATAAAAAACGGGTATTACAAATGAATCAAATGATATAAACTACTAAGCCTGTAATTTGTTTAAAAATATATATGTATAATGTGTTTGGTTAGTTGGAATAAATTGGTAGGTATGTTATATTAATATGTTTGGTTACGAGGAATAAATTGGTAAATATGTTATTTAAATTACTAAATTGCCCTCTTTTTAAATATTAATATAATATTATTTTTATTATTAATTTTTAAATAATTTCTTTTAACCCCTAATATTTCAAATTTAGCTAAAACACCCCCGCTTATATAAAACTTTAATTTATAACAAACTCACCACCACCACCTTACCGCTGCCACCACAAACCACCGTCGGAAGTCGCTGTGAGCAGCCCACCGTGACCGGAAAGCCCCGATATGGCTGTTTTTGGCCATATTGATGGTCGAAAAGGCCATATCGGGAGCAGATCTTGTCGGAAATGGCAAAATCTATTTTGGTTATTTCCAACCAGATTGATGGGTCTTACCCGACCCTTGGCCTTTATCAGCCATATCTGGGCATAGGGCTGGTTAACGAACTGAGCCGCTCGCGAGCCGGATCGGCTCAGCTCGAGTTCGGCTCGTTAATGGCTCGGTTCGTCTGATAACGAGCCGGCTTGACTCGGCTCGTGAGACAAAACAAGCCGAGTTCGAGCCATACAAGGCTCGACTCGCTCGGCTCGCGAGCCGCGTCTGGCTTGAAAAAGCGGGAGGGTTTTTGAGAATTTCTGAAACATTGGGACTTAATTAAATAATGCAAACAAGTTTTGAAAAATAATAAACTGGCCCCCATTATTAAAATCCCCAAATCGCGAAAAATCCGTCAGACTCGAACCCTTGCCGTAAAATTTGAATCAAATCCTCCCAAAGTGTTGATTTGCAGCTAGATCTTGTTCATCTTCGTCGGACCTTCGGCAGCCGTTGGATCTTCGTCATCTTCATCGGATTTTCGTCCGATCTGAACTGGATATTGTCGGTTCATCATCAGTCCTGCCTGGTCGATTGAGATTTAATTGTTTGTTTGGGGTTTGGGGTTTCTTCAATTTTTGTCAAATTTTAACTTGTTTTTCGTGATTTGTTCGTCTGTAACTGGGGGCTTTTTCCGGTGAAAGATTTCAGGAAGAGCTGTCTATGAAGAGTAGTGCCATGGTGGTGTTGTGCCGTAAAAGTTATCCCCAGTCGTGATTTTCATCGCCATCATTAGGATAACTCCCAGTCGAAATTTCGTCGGTTTTCGTCATCAGATTCTTCCACCGTGCTGTTCATCGGATTTTTTATCGCATTTGGAAGTTCGTTGCGATTTTTCTGTTCGCTGTGAAACAGATCTGGGAGGCAAAAAAAAAAAAAAAGAAAAAGAAAGAGCTTCGCTTAGTGGGCCTTCCTACGCTGACAAATGCCTCCTTTCTCTTCTCTAAAGTCTACAATATTCAGAGTTTCAGACCTGTCGCCTGCATGCTGCCAAGAAATTTATGAAAAAAAATTTGAATTTTGAAAAAAAAAAAACTGAATTTTTGGAGGTTGGCTCGCGAGCCGGCTTGAAATCGGCTCGATAAACCGGCTCGAAATATACTTAAATTTCTTTTGAGCCGAGCCGAGCCATAAAATCTAAGGCTCGACTCGGCTCAATATTTAATCTTCTTTCACGAGCCGAGCTCGTTAAGCCGAAAACTCGGCTCGGCTCGGCTCGTTAACACCCCTATCTGGGCGAGATCTGGCTGTTAATGGTCAGATCCATGGCCGTTAACGGCCACATCTCACCCAGATATGGCTGATAAAGGCCAAGGGTCTGGCCAGATCTACTCCCGATATGGACTTTTTGGCCATTAATATGACCATAAATGGCCATATCGAGGCCTCTCGGTCACGATGGGTTGCTCACAATGACTCTAGGTGACTTTCGACGACTTCTTGCAGCGGCCGGCGACATGCGGCAACAGGTGGGTGGGGGTGGTGGCTTGGGTAAACTGAAATTTGTTTTGATTTCATGGGTAATTTTTTCCAAAAAGTTATTTAATTGGGGTGAAATGGTAAAAACAATATTCATGTAAATAAATTAAAAAAAAAGGCATTATTGTCCTAAAGTTTTATTAATAAGGGATATAATTGTAATAAAAAAAATTACCCAAATAATCTTACAATACCTAAGAAAATGAAGGTAATCAGATTACCTACAATATTACAAACAGTAACCACTATTGGTATTTGAAGATTATCGGTATCTTATATTATTTGACAACTAAATATAATAATCAAATAATATAAGATGACTTAATCCCACGTAACCCCCAACCAAACGCCCCTAAGGAAACTAGGAATTGCCTAAAAGGTCCCTTATCAGTGGCTATATAATTTGGCAAACTAGGGCGGCATAAGCTCGGCATTAGAAAAACAGTATAAAAATGCAAAAGCAGAGCCACTCTCTAATCTTGTAAAGAGTAGAGTAGCGAGTGATGTCGCAAGCAGTTCATCCCATATCTAACAATTTCCCAGGTAACTTCAACTTTTACTTCAAAATTAAGACTGAAACGACCGTTTTAATATTTTAGTTTTCGTTATCCTTTTTCAATTTTTGTCCATTGCAGTTTTTGAACAATAACGCGAAGCTTTAGGGTTTTACTCATTTCGATGCTGCTGTTGTTCTGTTTATTGTAGATTTTGTATCTATTTAAATTCTAGCTATTCGTTTTTTTAGTAAACAAACCAACTGGCAACTGGATGTCTGAACTTTGTCTTGTCAAATTTAATTAATCCTTTTGCCACGCAGACCGTAGAGGGTTTTGTTTATTATTAGCATTTTAGCAGGGATGAGAGGCGGAGTTTAGGGGCTTTTCTTTAGTTAATGTGTACTATTTCGTTTACATGATGGATTTTTCAGGATGTGGGTCTTGCAAATTCGTTGCCTACTCCTCCCCTATAAGATTTAGGTACATAAGAGAATTTTGGTGATTCTGACGAAAAGGTTGGTTGTGGTTATGGTCTGCTTTGTTCAGATAGTTTTTTGGTGGCAAGTTGTGGCAGCTATGGTGCTGTTGTTTTAAGGGTTATGGGAGTGCTAATGTGCTGTTGCCAATGTGAATATTGCCATCAATCCTCCCACTGATATTTTAGTTTTGAAGCAATTTTCAATGGGTTCATTTTGATATGTAATATTACTATCAAAGTTCCCATCATAAACACCAGAAAACGTATATAAATATCTAGTTTATAGGACAACTCAATCATGTATCTTGAAGGAATGATGAGAAATTCTGGAGCATATGCTTATGCCCACCTCACATTGTAACTTCATCCTTATCAAGTGGCAGACTGTGCACTAGATCCGTTCTGCGTTTCATATTGATCCAGGTTCCAGTTAATAGAGGTTTATATATTGTAATAGTTAGACTATTTTGATTTGGTACCCCTATATTTCAGTCTTCCTCTTTTATCTTCTTGAAGAGAAAATATCCATAAATGAATTATAGGTAAAATAAAGTGTAAACCTATTTGATATTTTAGGAATCCTTGCTGTGAATATATAGGGTAAGACCATGAATTGTGAGTCATTCTTTTTCTTGCCAAATTGTACATGGGTTTTTGTATTATAGTTAAGTTCTTAAATTAAAAATATCTTATTGTAGGTTATGGGTCATCTGAAGGAAGGTGTCTCCCGTGCTTGGGTATTTCTGGAAGAGCGGTGGCTCTGTCTTCCTGCTCTTCTCGTGGTGATCTGAGAATTCGTTCACAGGTAAAGATTGGAGCAGTTAAATGTGATGCCAAAGGAACATCATTTGTGTGCAAGGCTGGTTCTGGGAGTTATAGGAGAAATCCTGACATGAGACAAAACAGAAATGGATTCCGAGGCAGGAACAGGCAAAACGAAGAGAGGGATAGTTTTGATGATGAATCTGAACTGTTATCTTCAAAAAATGGGCCATTACTCTCCCTCTCCAGTTCCCCAAAATTTCAAGCAACGTCAGCCCCAGGACCAAGAGAGAAGGAGATTGTTGAACTATTCAGAAAGGTCCAGTCTCAGCTTCGAGAAAGAGCAGCAGCTAAAGAAGACAACAAGATTGAAGTGACACAGGGACAACGTAAAGAGAGTGAAACAGTAGATTCTCTCCTCAAGTTGTTGAGGAAACACTCAATTGAGCAAGGTAAGAGGAAAAGCAGCAGTGGCAGCAGCAAAAACGAGACTGAACAGAATGCTGTTTATGATGAGGATAAAAGCACAAGCTTCTTTGATTCAAGTAGTAGAGTTGGGGCTGAGGCCCGAGAACCTAAGGAACCTAATGCCTCTTCTTTAACAAGACCAGCATCAAATTTCAGACGTAGGTCTCCGGTTAATCAATTCAAATACCAGCCCATTTATCCCAGTGAGGAAACTATGAATTCTGTCTCACAATTAAATCCTAGTGGGAAGAGGAAGAAGAGTTCAGTTGAGATAAGCACGGACTCCAGATATCAGCCTGAACCAGAACTTCAGCTGGGGTCAGAGCCTGAGCATGATGCCAGCTTTGTGGATGGGGATGTCTATGATGAGGTATCTGACAGTGAACCAAATATTCTAGTTGGCAATGTGTATGATGAGGTATCAGACAATGAGTCCGATGTTGTAGAAGGCAGTGTATACGAGGCATCAGAGGGCGAGTCTTCAGATATTGATAATGCTGATAATGATGAAGATGGAGGAAAAGAGGAGGATATTGAACATCCAGATTTTACTGCTTTGAAGCTCCCTGAACTAAGGGCAATTGCCAAGTCTCGAGGAGTGAAAGGGTTTTCAAAGATGAAGAAAGGCGAGTTGGTGGAGTTGTTAAGTGGTAGCTCAGTCTGATTACTGATCAGGGTTTAAAAATAAAAAAATAAAAAAAGCAAAAAGGCAAGAGGCCGTTTACAATTTTGAGACTAGTTGTGACATTCTCTTTTTTGTTATCTTATATTTGCTTCTGTTGTCTTCAGTTGATTGCATTTGCTTCTATGTAATGTTTTAGGCCCTTCGACATCTTTTGAGACTTAGTAGCTGTGAATCAACAGAGATAGTTATTTAAGCTAGGCTCAGCAATTTTTTTATTTTTTAGCCACTTTCAATCCCCAGAGTATTCATCTGATTTTTCTTTAAACTAATTTATCTTGTTTTCTATTTGAAAAGTGGAATGAATATTCGACAAACTTATATATTACATTGGGGAAAAAAAAAAAAAACACCTTGATTTGTAATGGCAAAGTGAGCCCTCGTCTAGTTTATTCATTTTCGCTCAGTCTTCGTAGGCGCATGCTATCTTTGATTGATTCATTTTGACAGAAAAAGGTTATGAATTTCTTGTTTTTATTGCAGAAGAAAAGATCAAAAAATCGAAATAAATCGCCACTGTATTTAAAAAAAAAAACTATTGGTGCAGAGGTTTTACCGGGCGTCCGAAGCATGCATGAAAAGATGAAAACTGTCCATTTCACTTCTCTAAATTTGGCACATATAACCCTGATCTCCCATTTTTATTTTTGAAATTAAAAAAAAAAAAAAAAAAAAAAAGAAGAAGAAGAAAAAAGAATGGCCCATATCAAATAAAAATGATATGATTTATGAAAAATGTCAACCTTATTTGTGTGCGTCACTCACACCATATAACAACCGTAAACTCGGACAAAATCTCTATCTTCTATTCTTCTTCCCTATTTCTCTCTCAGTTTAGTTTGAAGAAATAACTCACAAACACCCATCTCTTAGTTGCTAAGTGTTCTTTCAGAATCCCGTCAAAATTCTCATCAACTTATCTTAAAAAAAACTTATGGGGCAAAGTCTGAATTCAATGACCCACCACCAACTTCATCAACAAAAATCCAAAGACGAACTCCTCTTTCAATGTGTCAGTACCGGCAACGTTGACGCCATCAAAGCCCTTCATCTCCAAGGCGCCAATCTTGAGGTAAATAACTAACTTGCGAACAATCTTGAGGTAAATAACTAACTTGCGAACAATCTTTCAACTGTCATAATTTGTTTTAATTATAATCTGGGGTTTTGTATTTAATGCAGTGGATTGACAGAGAAGGCAAGACCCCACTGATTGTGGCATGCATGGACTCTGGCCTTATCAATGTTGCAAAGACTCTTATTGAACTTGGTGCCAATGTCAACGCTTACCGTCCTGGTAAAGTTTCTTTTTGTTACTGTTAGTTACCAAGTGATGAATGTTGTGTACGAGTTGAATTTAACATTTAATTAAGCTGATTCATTAGTTTCTGGTAGGTCGTCATGCTGGAAACCCTTTGCATCATGCAGCCAAAAGGGGATTGGAACCAACTGTTAGGTTACTTCTCTTTCACCAAGGTCTGTGTTGTTTTATCTGTTTATTATGGTTTTAAGATTCTGCTGCTCTAATGGACAGTGGACTGTAACTTAATTATTGTTTTGTATGAAACAATTTGAACAACAGAAAAATAATAATAATAATCACAATCTTAAGTTATATGAACGCATGAGCTTTGTTTCTGTGTGCAGAAATGAAGTGTGATGGTTTTTAGTGATTTTGCAAATTTTTCAGCAAATGCTCTTGTGAGGAATGACGACTGTCATACTCCACTCGATGTTGCAAGAATTAAGGGGCATACAATTGTCATTCGTACAATTGAGGTGTGCTTGATAATTGTTTATTTTGTCATTTATCTGAAATTATTTATGTTTCATTACAATATTGTTTTATTGCCTAAGCTTTTATATTAATTTTGTTGCTTTTTTGTTTCTAGAGTCATATTTCCTATTTCTCTGGCTGGCTGCGGGAGCTTTATGGTCCAGGTTTTCTTGAAGCATTAGCTCCTCAGTTGTTGTCGAGGAAAATGTTTGTATCATACTGATTTTCTTTATTTTTGCAAACTTCATTTATGCTTTTTATTAGAATGATTTCTTTTATATAATATTATGTTGTCAAAATGCTGAATGCTGTAGCAGCACTTACGTGGATTAATAGGCTTATATAAGGTGACGGGCCTTTTTGTTTTTTTTTTTTTGAAAAAAAATTATTTTGGATGAACACCCTGAGAAGTAACAATGCACTACAGCAAATATTTTCAAAGGCTTTTAAGCTTTGCTCTTACTATTTGACCTGGCACTGTATTTAACTAAGGTTCGTTACTTGTAGTTGGGCTGTTGTTATACCTTGTGGTTCTGGTAATCCCACGAAGCCTCATAGATTTGAGCTTGCCATGTATCCTACTTTGCAGGTATGCTCATTTTAAATTTTTGAGTTGCTTCCAGATAATCATTTTAATTTCTAAAATAAAATAACATAGAACTATTTGTGTGTCCTGTGAAGGATTATTTTGCACTTTTCTAAAGACATGTTAGTGATCTTGTCCAGTTGGCTCTATGTTTCTTGATCTTATTCTAAGTTTCGTTGTTTATACAGACATAGTTTATACTCTGTAATCTTTGAGATATCCCACAGATATTTATCTTTTACCATTTATGGTGTGTTCACTACTCTTACATCTACCTTATTTTCTTTTGCCTTAAGCTACACATAGTTAAGCAGTTACTTAAAAGTAAACATCATAAAGCTGAACTTTTATTGTTGTTGTTTCAATTGGCATGGCTCTGTTTGGCTCATGCAACAAAGTAGTTGTATAATGGGCATGTTGATACTCATTAGTTCTTTGTAATCACAGCTTGCTGTGTATCATAAATTGGGTAGACTAATAGGTCTTTTTGCCTAATGTTGGTGAGGAAACTAGAATTTATCCTCACCTATACAGTAGCCAGGGATACTGGTTGCCCATTGCTAGACCTAGTATAATAAACCCTTACTAAAATTTGGTTGTATAACTTATAGTTTTAGCTTTAAACTTAAAGATTTGATTTCTTTACATAGTTATCTATGATATTTACTCTTGTTCTATAGGTCTTTCAAATTGCTTTCTTAATTGGCAAACAGGATGGTCAGCCTTGTACAGTCATCGCCCTTTGCAATGCCAAAGTTGATGAACCTAAATTTCATCAACGGGATCCTGCACTCACTATATTTGACAAGTCTACTAGTAAGTTCATATTAATTTGTTAATCAAGTGATATTATGAGCGTTTGGTTAGGAAAGGGTGACTTAACTGTGAATGAACTAAATGATAATTGAACAAGTAGCATATCTTTACATCGTAGTGAATGGCACTACATTTTTTACACAAAATTTAGCATCGTTGTAAATGGGTAGATCAAAGTTCTTTGAATAGTTTAAATTGTATCTAATCTATGTTATTCCCAGTGATCTTTACTTTTACATATTAGATTTAATCTAAACGTTTGAAAGTGCATTTGATTCATGGTTCACAATTGGTTTCACATTTTTTGTCAAAATTTCTGGTGCCATATTATATGTGGCCTTAGAAACAATGGTGCATTGTAAGAAATTTCTGTTAGCCTCACTTTATCAGGTCTATTCTTTGATCTCATACTTTTTCACTAGGTATTCGTTATAAGCTTGCATCTGCGGATGAGGGTGACAAACAGCAGCTTCAGTGGTTATATAATGCATGCAGAGGAATTCTCCAGGTATAGAATCAGACTGCATAAGATTGTAGTTTTACATGATGATGTTTTCTTATAGCCTGGATTCTGTTGTCATGCAATCACCAGCTAGTATACTATTTTAATTTCTGCAGTTTCAGGTTAAGCCCTCCACAGTGTCTCATAGCCCTCTACCCTCTGTTCCAATGAATGCGCATCAAACCACCACAGAAGCTATACAACCAGCAATTGCTAATGGCCAGCAGAAGGCCGAAGCAATTAATGCAAATGGTTGGGACAATCCTACAAGTTCTGACACTCACAATGGGTGGGACCTAGCTTCACAGTCAGGCGCTAGCTGTAGTGGATGGACGGATGAACCTGCTAAACAAGAATACAATGGGTGGGATTTGCCTGATTCTGGGTCAACTTGTAAACAAAGTCAAGCTGTCCAAACCCATACTAACCCTGCCCCTTCCGTCCAAACAAGCGGCGGAATTTCCGCATCAGTTCCGTCAGCTCCACCATTCCCTGAGGATATATCAAATGAAGGGCCAATCCACTATCCATCAGTTGAAAGCAGTCCCGTGCACCTGTATACTCCTACCATAGAGGGCTGCGCTTCTGTAACAAGTAACTTAAAAAATGAAGGCGTATTGGTAACAGATGACATGAAAGATGAAGGCACATCTTCCTTATGTGTAATATGTTGGGAAGCTCCAATAGAAGGGGCATGCATACCCTGTGGTCATATGGCTGGTTGTATGACATGTTTAAATGACATAAAAGCCAAGAAGGGTGTTTGCCCTGTTTGCAGAACCAAGATTAATCAGATTATAAGAGTCTATGCTGTCTAATAAGGCAACTCAAAAAAATGGATCTGGAGTTTGTTTGTAAAGATTGGATTTATTTGTTGAACTCTGATACCGAAGCTTTTACTGATCAATTTATAGGACTGTAATTGATTAATTTGAAGTGTACAAATACAAATAGTCTGCTATTATGAAAAATTCATTCAGTTACGTAGGAGTATTTTTGCTCCATACAACTTCGTGGATTCTACATTAAAATCAATTGATGAAATCCACTTTTATCTAAGGAGCAATCCTCGAGGAATTTGAATGGTTAGATACCTCTCTCCTCTAAATTTCAACGCTTATATATGGTGCATGTTTGTGATACTGAACAATGTCTGTTCGGGCTTTAAGGCAACCTTGATATTTGTCAAGTACTCTAAGTAGCTGAGCTTAAAAGATCTCTCAGCTTAACAGGTTCAGTTTTGTGACATATTTCCAAATCAAAATTTTTAGTTTGATTACTAAACATTTCTTGTATTGAAGGTTACTGACAATATCCACGTTCCAGAGCGCCTGTACCGCGACAACTTGATAGAATCACTGCTGTGTTTTTTCATGATGATCTGGAATCTGAATGATGATATCAATAAAGAGACAAAAATGAAAATCTGTTGGCCTTGGATACTGGGATTGAAAACATTAAGGGTATCATGGATAGGGAAATTACAGAGTTCCTCAGTTGGATGTCTACAACTACAGGTGGGTGTCTTATAGTGAATTGGTAAGGAGATTGGGACCTCTTATCAATTAAGGTCAAAATGTGGTCTAACGTTTTAATAAAGTGAATGTTTTTAAGTCTTACAAATGAGCCCACCATTCCAACATCGATGACCCTACCTTCCAAATGGTAAAAAAACCAGCACATGCCATGCTTAACCAAAACCACATCTCAATTTCTTTGAAGTTGTTTTTACTACAGAAAGTGAATAGCAACATTTGACACAATTTATTGTTTTCCCAAATGTAAAAAGCTTGACTGAAAGCTTAAATTGTAAGTGATTAATGCACTACAGCAAATATTTTCAAAGGCTTTTAAGCTTTGCTCTTACTATTTGACCTGGCACTGTATTTAACTAAGGTTCGTTACTTGTAGTTGGGCTGTTGTTATACCTTGTGGTTCTGGTAATCCCACGAAGCCTCATAGATTTGAGCTTGCCATGTATCCTACTTTGCAGGTATGCTCATTTTAAATTTTTGAGTTGCTTCCAGATAATCATTTTAATTTCTAAAATAAAATAACATAGAACTATTTGTGTGTCCTGTGAAGGATTATTTTGCACTTTTCTAAAGACATGTTAGTGATCTTGTCCAGTTGGCTCTATGTTTCTTGATCTTATTCTAAGTTTCGTTGTTTATACAGACATAGTTTATACTCTGTAATCTTTGAGATATCCCACAGATATTTATCTTTTACCATTTATGGTGTGTTCACTACTCTTACATCTACCTTATTTTCTTTTGCCTTAAGCTACACATAGTTAAGCAGTTACTTAAAAGTAAACATCATAAAGCTGAACTTTTATTGTTGTTGTTTCAATTGGCATGGCTCTGTTTGGCTCATGCAACAAAGTAGTTGTATAATGGGCATGTTGATACTCATTAGTTCTTTGTAATCACAGCTTGCTGTGTATCATAAATTGGGTAGACTAATAGGTCTTTTTGCCTAATGTTGGTGAGGAAACTAGAATTTATCCTCACCTATACAGTAGCCAGGGATACTGGTTGCCCATTGCTAGACCTAGTATAATAAACCCTTACTAAAATTTGGTTGTATAACTTATAGTTTTAGCTTTAAACTTAAAGATTTGATTTCTTTACATAGTTATCTATGATATTTACTCTTGTTCTATAGGTCTTTCAAATTGCTTTCTTAATTGGCAAACAGGATGGTCAGCCTTGTACAGTCATCGCCCTTTGCAATGCCAAAGTTGATGAACCTAAATTTCATCAACGGGATCCTGCACTCACTATATTTGACAAGTCTACTAGTAAGTTCATATTAATTTGTTAATCAAGTGATATTATGAGCGTTTGGTTAGGAAAGGGTGACTTAACTGTGAATGAACTAAATGATAATTGAACAAGTAGCATATCTTTACATCGTAGTGAATGGCACTACATTTTTTACACAAAATTTAGCATCGTTGTAAATGGGTAGATCAAAGTTCTTTGAATAGTTTAAATTGTATCTAATCTATGTTATTCCCAGTGATCTTTACTTTTACATATTAGATTTAATCTAAACGTTTGAAAGTGCATTTGATTCATGGTTCACAATTGGTTTCACATTTTTTGTCAAAATTTCTGGTGCCATATTATATGTGGCCTTAGAAACAATGGTGCATTGTAAGAAATTTCTGTTAGCCTCACTTTATCAGGTCTATTCTTTGATCTCATACTTTTTCACTAGGTATTCGTTATAAGCTTGCATCTGCGGATGAGGGTGACAAACAGCAGCTTCAGTGGTTATATAATGCATGCAGAGGAATTCTCCAGGTATAGAATCAGACTGCATAAGATTGTAGTTTTACATGATGATGTTTTCTTATAGCCTGGATTCTGTTGTCATGCAATCACCAGCTAGTATACTATTTTAATTTCTGCAGTTTCAGGTTAAGCCCTCCACAGTGTCTCATAGCCCTCTACCCTCTGTTCCAATGAATGCGCATCAAACCACCACAGAAGCTATACAACCAGCAATTGCTAATGGCCAGCAGAAGGCCGAAGCAATTAATGCAAATGGTTGGGACAATCCTACAAGTTCTGACACTCACAATGGGTGGGACCTAGCTTCACAGTCAGGCGCTAGCTGTAGTGGATGGACGGATGAACCTGCTAAACAAGAATACAATGGGTGGGATTTGCCTGATTCTGGGTCAACTTGTAAACAAAGTCAAGCTGTCCAAACCCATACTAACCCTGCCCCTTCCGTCCAAACAAGCGGCGGAATTTCCGCATCAGTTCCGTCAGCTCCACCATTCCCTGAGGATATATCAAATGAAGGGCCAATCCACTATCCATCAGTTGAAAGCAGTCCCGTGCACCTGTATACTCCTACCATAGAGGGCTGCGCTTCTGTAACAAGTAACTTAAAAAATGAAGGCGTATTGGTAACAGATGACATGAAAGATGAAGGCACATCTTCCTTATGTGTAATATGTTGGGAAGCTCCAATAGAAGGGGCATGCATACCCTGTGGTCATATGGCTGGTTGTATGACATGTTTAAATGACATAAAAGCCAAGAAGGGTGTTTGCCCTGTTTGCAGAACCAAGATTAATCAGATTATAAGAGTCTATGCTGTCTAATAAGGCAACTCAAAAAAATGGATCTGGAGTTTGTTTGTAAAGATTGGATTTATTTGTTGAACTCTGATACCGAAGCTTTTACTGATCAATTTATAGGACTGTAATTGATTAATTTGAAGTGTACAAATACAAATAGTCTGCTATTATGAAAAATTCATTCAGTTACGTAGGAGTATTTTTGCTCCATACAACTTCGTGGATTCTACATTAAAATCAATTGATGAAATCCACTTTTATCTAAGGAGCAATCCTCGAGGAATTTGAATGGTTAGATACCTCTCTCCTCTAAATTTCAACGCTTATATATGGTGCATGTTTGTGATACTGAACAATGTCTGTTCGGGCTTTAAGGCAACCTTGATATTTGTCAAGTACTCTAAGTAGCTGAGCTTAAAAGATCTCTCAGCTTAACAGGTTCAGTTTTGTGACATATTTCCAAATCAAAATTTTTAGTTTGATTACTAAACATTTCTTGTATTGAAGGTTACTGACAATATCCACGTTCCAGAGCGCCTGTACCGCGACAACTTGATAGAATCACTGCTGTGTTTTTTCATGATGATCTGGAATCTGAATGATGATATCAATAAAGAGACAAAAATGAAAATCTGTTGGCCTTGGATACTGGGATTGAAAACATTAAGGGTATCATGGATAGGGAAATTACAGAGTTCCTCAGTTGGATGTCTACAACTACAGGTGGGTGTCTTATAGTGAATTGGTAAGGAGATTGGGACCTCTTATCAATTAAGGTCAAAATGTGGTCTAACGTTTTAATAAAGTGAATGTTTTTAAGTCTTACAAATGAGCCCACCATTCCAACATCGATGACCCTACCTTCCAAATGGTAAAAAAACCAGCACATGCCATGCTTAACCAAAACCACATCTCAATTTCTTTGAAGTTGTTTTTACTACAGAAAGTGAATAGCAACATTTGACACAATTTATTGTTTTCCCAAATGTAAAAAGCTTGACTGAAAGCTTAAATTGTAAGTGATTAGACACCAAGCCTTGGTTTTTTAGATGTATTATCATTTATTTAAGTACATCCCCCCATATGGGGAACCAGGATCCTTCATAAATCTGACCTTTGAAACTAGCAACATGACGTGTACGGCAAATATAGACAATAGAAAAGATGTTGTGCATTTAATATGTTTACTGTTTGACCCTTTCTAATCCATTAGAAATATTAACAACTCATTAAAGCTGGGAGTTGCAAGCATGTGAATCGTAACCAGAGCCAGAGGTCAAACCCCTCACTAGTTAAGATTATAATTTAGTTTTAAGGTTATTAAATTCATAGATCTAATGGAACGTTATACAGAATTTGTAATGCAATTAAAAAAGATCAAATTTCTTTTGGGTTTGGTTTAGCCTTCCCAGTTTTAACTAGTACTTTGGGGAAGGTGGGAAAAGTTGTATATGCACTCACTGGGCATCTACTTGAGTGGTGACCAAGAAAAACTTGGAGTCATGCAGACTCTTCCATCAAAAAGTTGAAGGCATTATAATGATGCTAGGTGCTTTACTGAGTTAACTTTTAATTCAAATGTGATGTGGTGAAAAGAGCCATGATGTAACTGGGGCTGGCTGGCTCATCCAAAACCAAGATTATAACAACTAGCTAGCTGGCGATGAATCATTCTCATTTCTCAAAGAGATTAAAAAACAATAACAAGGAAGTTGCTTTCATTAAACATTACTATCAAGGTATAGTGTTTGAAACCCGATTGCTTAAGCCTCTTTATTTCATCATTTCCTATATACATATATATTAGCAACATCATGCTTAAGTTTTTAGTATTTCTCCACCCAGTTGTAGAAAATTAAGAATTTTTATTTGGGATCTGAATTCTGAAATTTGAGAATATTGGGTTATGTAATATAAGAATATTATATAATAGTTCCCATAGGAGCATTTACTCCAATACAACTTCTCATTCTTCCATAATAAATCTTCATTAAACATAAATATGTATTTTGCTTGTGGGTCTTCTCCTTTCCCTTTTGCCCTTTTATTTATTTATTGTCCACTCTTTTCTGAAAAAAAGAGAAGCTGATAATGGCTTGACCTTGATATGGAAGATAAGTTGATGACATTTATTTGTCAAATGGCATTATCCATGCAATCGTCATGTTTAGTATAAAGATTTGACTCTATCAGGATTAGGTAGCATCAAAAGTATACAATTTTTAATGCTAAAAAGAAATCTTGATTCGTGAACACAGCTACTATAATTGGTGCTGCTCATCAAAGCCAGTTTATCAAATTCTTCATCACCAATTTAAATGTATTTTGTGAAAAATCAATTATGAATCATTCATGATATAGATGTACGACTGCAACACCTCCACTACAATAGTTTCAAGATGGATGTTTCTTATTTCTGGTAGACAATCAATTAATCAGGAAGAAATGACAAATTGTTTATATAAGATTCAGGCTGAGGAAATTGTTTATATAAGATTCAGGCTGAGGACTGAGGAATATACCTCTACTATAAATCAATTGTGGGTTTAATGAATTTTACCTCTTTCTCATAAATAAGAAAATTCAAGGGTAAATTAGTCATTTCCATTGTCTTTAACACCATTAAGACTAGATTAATCATGTACTTCTCTGTAAACTCTTGTTTTCTTTTGATATCATATTCATCATCATCAGCTACATAAAAGCCCGTGACTGATGTTTCACTAATCCAATTAATTACAATTAAAACCTAAATTATTTTCTCAACCCTCATCTTGTTTTACTGTTCCTTATGACCCTTAATTTATCTTGCCCCAGAAAACCCAACAAATCTGCAACCACAATGGGCCCCCACCCAATTCACAACCCATTTCTTTTTGTTTTTCCAATTTTATTTACAGTTCTTGCAACAAACTAATGCACACACTGTCTCTCTCTCTCTCTCTCATGCAGCTTTGTAAGAAATCAAAGCTGGAACCTTTCATTTACATTACTAATGATTCTTAAAGATTAGATTTTGTTCATTTCACAAACCAATGTTTTTGGTTTAACACCACCAGCTTGAGCCACTTAAACACAGGTATGATTTGATGAAGGCAAAGTTGTGTTTTTGTTTGTAAAGTTTTGATCTTTCTTCTTTTTCATAGCCATTTCTCTGTGTGCTCTATCAAACTTTCATGTATAGGTGATTATAGCAGTTGGGGTTTGCTTTTTTATTTTATTTTATTATATTATTATTGTTTGGATTTAAAGTTTTAGTTTTTTTTAGTTGTTTTTTTTGTCTAATTCAACACATGGGGTTTGTTAATTTTGAAGTGTTATATGATTTTGATCATTCGTTTTTAATTATCGTGGTGGGTTTGATAGTGTTGTTGTTTAATAAAATTGAGTGGGAATTGTTTGGTTGTGTGAAAAATTGAAAATTAGTTTACTTTCTGTTTGGTTCCCGAGAAAAACGAGGAAAAGAGAAGTAATGGAATATTGGATCTCGCGAGGATTTGGTTTCTTTCATAAAGTATTTTAGTATTTGTTTAGGCATTTGATGGAGTTAAACTTTAGTTAGTGGAAGTTCTGTTCTCTATTATCAAGTAGTGTAAAATATAAAAAATATTGATTTAATTTGATTTCCTTTTCACGATATTATATTTGGACAATGAACGTTTTCTTAAATCCTCATAAGTTGTGTGTCTGTGTGAAACAGTTAACTTTAAGAAACCATGTGCAGGCAGCATACAATGAGTATGAAAATGTAGATGGTTTCTTGCTTCCTTTGATAATCTAGTAAAATGGGTTTCCTCAAACAATGGAAGAAATTCAACATGGAAAAGGCCTTGGAATAACTTATCATTTTTTTATTGTTTTTGAATAGGCATGGCAGTGGGCAAATGCTATTTTTCGTTTTCTCATAGAAGCTGCTTTTAAGGAATAATAGGTCAAAGTCAGTTATCTTGCACATAAGTTAAGTCTAGCAATTTAATATGTGGAAATCAATAATATCTAAAGTATCTGGTTTTCAGCATGTCTTTTTCTATGTGGTGTGATGCAATTTCAAGCAATATTGACACAAAAAACATGCTCATTAGTTATATTGCAGACAAAAAATAAAAATAAAAAATGACTTGTAAATGATACTTGGCAGGTTATCATTTAATTCTTTGGAAGCTCTATATGTCTTGTCTTATGTGTTAGTAATGAGTTAAGCAGCAACTATATCCAGATGGTTATTAGTTGAATGCTTTACGCTCCTCTGCAATGGAAACATGGCTTGACATGTGTTTACCGATTTAAAGTACTGTTGACTGACATGAGTCTAGTTTTTGTAACTGATCACAAAACCCAAGGTGTTGGTATGAGGAAAATTAAGTCTCTGTTAAGGAGCCTTGAAACCAACTGTTCGGCCAAAACATTCTGAAAATATTTTGTTTTAGGAGTTTTATTCGATGTAACTAATTTTGTTATATGCTTCATGAAAAGCAGGTTAGATGGACACATCTGTTAGATGTCTTATCAACAGTATTTCTCGATTCATCCATCTTATTTCTTGCCAGTCAATGAAAGTTACTTCTATTCAAAATGATTACAAGAATATAGCTGGTGTGTTAAAACTTTTGAAACCGTTGCTGGATGAAGTTGTTGATTACAAAATACCTTCAGATGAAATCCTAAATAAAGAGTGTGAAGAACTGGATATGGCTGTTAATGAGGCTCGGGAATTCATGGAGAAGTGGAGTCCGAAGATGAGCAAGATTTGCAGTGTATGTAATCTTTATTGATTTTTTTTGTTTGCTGGATCTGCTTGATCCGGGTGGAATTCTTCAAAGAATAAACTGCAGAGGTATTAGTCATTAGCTGGTTAATTTTTCTTGTCCCAACCCCACCCAAAAGAGAAAAAAGTAAAAAGTAAAAAAAATGGTCTTATATCATGCTTGCAGAACACTGAATTATGAATGTCTGAAATTATGTGAAGCTCCCTTTGGGTTTACTGGTTAAAAAAAGTTTGTAATCCAACGACGGCAACCCTGCCTTGCCTATTATTAATCCCAAACTTATTTTTGCCTATTCTCTTAATTTGTTTATCTTTCAAAGATATATGTTATTTTATGTGTGTCCAGGTTCTACAGAGTGAGGCTATCTTGATGAAAATCCAGAGTTCTTCACTTGAAGTATGTCGTGTATTGTATAGACTATCGCAGTCATCTCCATTCAGTTCAAGTACGTCTGTTGTTCAGGTGTGTAGAATGCTAAAATTCGTTTCTGCACTAGTATTTTTCTGTAACTACATGTTTCTTGATGATGAGCTTCTTGTGTAGATTGATCATTCTTTTCTCACCGATTTTCCCTTCTAAATCACTTTTTAAGTTTGCTGATTGAAATTTTTAGCACTCTCATTGTTGCCTGGTTAGCCTCTTGGCCATGACTAGTAAAACTGATTGCTGGTAAATTGTGCAGCATTGTATGCAGGAAATACATTGCTTGAAACAGGAAAGAATTACAGAACATATAACAGAGGCTCTGAGAGGTCAACAAGATGATATCCTTTCTAGCACTGATCACCTTGTTAAAATTATTGAATCACTTAGTTTGAAATCAAACCAGGAACTGTTGAAAGAAAGTGTTGCTGTGGAAAAGGAGAGGATAAATGCTCAGGTAAATCAGAGTAAAGGAGGTTTACAACAAATCGACCAAATTGTGGATCTCATCTCCCATATTCGTGATCGCATGTTTAAAATGGTGCGCTTTGAAGCAACAAGTGGAGTTCCAATCCCTTCCTACTTCCGCTGCCCTTTATCTTTGGAACTCATGTTGGACCCGGTGATCTTGGCTTCTGGTCAAACTTATGAGAGGGTGTTTATCCAAAAGTGGCTTGATCAAGGGTTGACCGTTTGCCCAAAGACTCGGCAAATACTGACACACACAAATCTAATTCCCAATTACACTGTCAAAGCTATGATAGCAAATTGGTGTGAGGAAAACAATATAAGGCTTTCCAGTTACTATGAACATAGTAATCTTGTCTCAGTCTTATCCCCATTGGATCGTGTGTCTGCTCAAGATTTAATCCGCACAGATAGTTTTCGTTGTTCTTTACACAGTAGTAATTCCACGTCAAGATCATCTCTTGATGCTGGAAATGGGTTTGAAAAGCTGAAGGTTGATGTCTCTTCCAGATTAAGTGGAGAAGAATTGAATGGATGTCAAAGTAGAGATACTGGAAAGTCTGACCGCCCATCCCCTGAACAATCATATGTACATAGCAGGACCGAATCAGCTTCAAGTGCCATTTCAAGTATTGAATATATGCCTCCAGCATCAAATGAGGTGTCAAGGAAGTCTAGTAAGCATGAAAAATTGAGTGAGGTGTCAGGAGAGATCATATCAGAGCGACCTGCTGCTTCACCATCAAATAAGGAATTAGGATTTTCTCCCTGGTTATCGGGAAAACAACACCAGGGCTCTGAAACAGAAGTAGAAGTGGCCAGGAGTGGACAGCATAATTCTAGAGGAATACACGCTGTTCCATTTTCTGACTTCGGTTCTGATGAATTGACCACAACCTCTTATGTCAAGAAATTGATTGAAGACCTTAATAGCCAATCAAATGACTTGAAAACTACAGCTGCAGCAGAATTGCGGCTTCTTGCAAAGCACAACATGGAGAATCGCATCATTATAGGCAATTGTGGAGCTATCCCACCATTGCTTTCGCTATTGTACTCAGAAACACAGCTGACCCAAGAGCATGCTGTCACTGCCCTTTTAAATCTATCAATTAATGAAGACAATAAGGCCATGATTGCGGAAGCAGGTGCAATAGAACCACTTATTCATGTTCTAAGATCAGGAAATGACGGAGCCAAAGAAAATTCTGCTGCAGCTCTGTTCAGCCTCTCTGTGTTAGAAGAATACAAGGCAAAAATTGGTCGTTCTAGTGCTGTCAAAGCTTTGGTAGATCTTCTAGGTTTTGGAACTCTAAGAGGTAAAAAAGATGCTGCTACTGCTTTGTTTAACCTTTCAATCTTTCATGAGAACAAGGCTCGAATAGTTCAAGCGGGGGCTGTGAAGCATCTTGTTGACTTGATGGATCCTGACGCTGGGATGGTGGACAAGGCTGTTGCTCTTCTTGCAAATCTATCGACCGTTGGTGAAGGGCGCTTGGCAATTGCACGGGAAGGTGGCATCCCATCTCTGGTCGAGGTAGTTGAATTAGGATCCCAGAGAGGAAAGGAAAATGCAGCCTCCATACTGCTGCAGCTGTGCCTTCATAGTCCCAAGTTTTGTACTCTGGTTTTGCAAGAAGGAGCTGTTCCTCCTCTTGTTGCTTTATGTCAGTCCGGCACCCCTAGAGCAAAGGAAAAGGTATATAGCTTTGTTTCTATTCTTCTGGTTGAACTTTAGTTCTCACACTGTCTCACAACTTTCTCTATCTTTGGGAGAATGGTGGGTCTGGGTTCACTCATTTATGGAAACCTGGAAAAGGGCCTTGGCTTTCTAGTTATATTTTTCCGTACTGGCAGCTGCTAAAATAGATGTGTTACATTGCTTACAATTTTAAGAGGTACTTGAGAAATAAATTATTTATTGGTCTTCTGTGTATAACATGCAGGCACAGCAGCTTCTCAGTCACTTCCGGAATCAGAGGGAAGGGGCCATGGGGAAGAAATCATGAAAAGTTATAAATTTAATTGGATCCTTTATTTTTCTCCAGATAATTTTGGTTTCTACTTGATATAGCTTGCTCTTCCTTGTTAGATCCCCTTAGGAGTGCCTTTTTCCTATATATTATATAGTTATCAACTAGATCCATTTGCAATGTACTACTAATTCTTTCATTTTCTTCCTTCTTTCTTTTGATAGCGTACTCTCGAATGTGTGCAGTCACTTATCTTCTTCTTCTTCTTTTTTTTTTTTTTTTTCTCAGTTTACAGTATAATTTATGTTGTAGTTGGTTTTGTCATTACGATTGTAGATATATTGTACATAATATTATAGACTTCTGTAATCTGCTACGCAATTTATGTTAATTATTTTTGTGGCTTTAGATGCACCACTCTTCTAGTTTTGAGTTTGACAACTTTCAGTTCTCCATCTAACCGTAACATAGCTTTGTTCGTAGCCATATGATATCTTCCGAGGCCTTAGAATTCAATCAAGCATTAACAAAGCTCCATAGCTCTATATATAATTCAATGAAGAGCCTAGCCAAACAGAAGTACTTGATTTGAGTAAAAGTTAGAGAAAAAACTGTTTCCGAATAATTACAGCTTGTTTTCTGGTGTGCATAGCCCACTGCAATACAATTCTGTCCATTTGATGTTCCAACAAGTACTTATGTTCACTTCTGTGAGTTTGAAGAAGAAAGAGGCAGAAAAGACTGATCTCTTTTAGCTTAATACTTGATTCGGATGATAGATGTTGTCATTAACCAAACGTTAGTCTTTTGACAGCTTTACAAAATTGGAAAGAAACTTTTGCCTTGAAAAAATGCATTATCTCATGGACCGTGTTTCACCTGCATGTGGGATTTCTCCATGGGAGCCAGCTCTGGGGTTGTGTACAAATGGAGACAAAGACAATGTTTTACTTGATGAAAATGCTTCCATTTTAAGAAGTCCATTTCCCAGGTGGCTATCAGTGATGTCATGAAAATTATCACTTAAAAGACAAGTCGGTGATGGCCATTAGAATAGCTCCATCTTCTTAAATATCGGATTGATAAAATTATGAATTTGAGGCAGACCCTTCGCCTTCAACATTATCTAAAAATTATAAGGCAAGTAATCTGAAGTTTGTTGAATGGGGTAGGTAATAGAACGAAGTGTCTTAATGTTACCGAAACATCAATCAGAGTCATCAGACTACAGAGAAATTAGTACAAGATCACATGTGAAATGGTCCATGATGATAAATGGAAAAGTATAATAATCCAACACTAAACAGTTAAGATATAACAATGATTTAATAGTCAAATGAACTTTACTCATTTACGATGATGCCTGAAACTTGGAAGAAAGTAGCTGGATTTAGGGAGGCAGGCAGGTTTGGACCAGACCAGTCATGTTATAACTTAAATCATTTATAAACATATATGGTCCCTAACCCCACTTAACATGGTTTGATGCGGAAGTTTAGTTATTAGGGTAAGTATTTTTGAAATATTATTATTAGGTATAATTTAGTGATTATTATGGCGATAGAATTTGAAAATAAAAAATAATTGAATAATTTAGAATAGAATTTTGAGAATAAGAAAATAAATATGTATTTTAATTTTGAATAGGAATAGGACAGGAAACAAACGCATTCAAAAACTTTTTCTCTATATTTTCACTTCTCACTTAATATTTTCTTTACTATAATCATTCACTCACCATTTCTTTTCAATTTATTCTTTATGTAAAAGGGTATTAACCACTGTATTAGCACATTTTAATATATCTATTATTTTTAGTTATTCATATAATTTTACCAAATTAATGTTTAGAGCAATGTTTTAAGTCCTCTATTTTATTTTTTTGAGAAAAAAGAAATATATATATATATATATATATATAGTAAAATAGTACTGAATATCCAAAATGGTTTATGATTTTTTAGTCAAGAGTAGGCTGAGGTTTATACCAAATTTGTGGACTCTATGTGGCCGAACTTCACAACTTGACTAGTGTTTTACTATTGGGATCGTGCATTCAAGATTTGGTCAATACTTAAAAATTAAATGTGATAAAGAGTTTTCATCAGTCTGTCTAGGGAATGGAATTTGGATATAATAAGTTATTTGATTCAGTTTAATTTAAATACAAATATTCCTCTTCTGTTTCATATACTTAACAAAGATGACCTAATTACTAAGCCTCTAAGATTTTTACATTAATGTATTAAACATGATAAATTTAAGTGCACATATTTGTCACAAGCACTTCATGAACTGGCTTTATTCTATGTGCTTTTAGCTGGCATTGGTATTTAAGCATACGAAGAAGAGCTGTGTATCGTTTATTGGATGATTAAGACATTGTGTTGAAAGGTCCAAATCAATTTGGACTAAATATTGATATTAACACTGAGAAATTGAATAATAATATTCTTTTTATCATATCACAATCTTCATACCGACAACAATAATTCAAGCGTTTCTATTCAAAATTCAAAAGCAAAAAATTTAAATTAGTCATTTCCAATGGAATGCTATAGATAAACCATAAAAATTGTTTTAAATATTTCAAAATATACCCAATAAAATAAAGATGAATGTGGTATTTTATATTCTCTCAAATAAGACATATCTTCATCAATAACTTGACCCTACCATGACCATCTCTTGATAGTTTTAGACAAATCCCTTGCATATAGTATATAAGTTAGATTTGGGTATCGTCTGCTTCTTTTTCAGTGCAATGTCTTAATTAAGTAACAGAAGAACAAAGAATATCAATAAAAATAATTCATTGTTTTACGATTTGATTTGTTGGATACAGGAAAGAGGAGAAATACAAATATTTACGAAATTATATACTTTTAAATCTATATATATATATATTCATAATTATTGGGATTTTGGAGATATATAATGCATCATTTTTATTACATTATCACTCATAATTTATTTTTAATGATAACAAAAAGCATCTTTTCTTTAGTTGTTTAAATTTTATTCTCTTTCTGCCTAACAAAGTTGAGGTTTTTCTCAGAAGTGATTACCGTTAATTAGCTGCCATTCTTTGACAAAGACAAACATTTAATACGTTCTACTACGAATTTAAACAAAAGCCAGCAAGGTTCAAGAGGGTTTTCCTCCACGTGCTTATCTGCACTAACTTTGTGCAAGCCACACGCCAATTAGGTACTGTTCAAATGTCTCCTCGCCTCTTACAACATACTTTTTTTTTTTTTTTTTAATTATAAATTATAGTTTAAACATATCAAGAAATTAAGAATCATGCATGACTGCAATTTAAACGGGGAAAGATGAATGTGCACAGTTGCTCTCTTGATTAATTAATAACTTCACGAAGAATTTGACCTTGTATATATAAGAGTTTAATTATTGTCATTTTAAGATAATCTCTCATGCTTGTTATGAGTTTAATTAATTATATAATTGATTTCTTGACATAATCTTTATTTTATTAACAAAACTACTGTATATACAGTGGAAAATAAATGTATTTCATCCCATATAGCGGGGAATTTGTTAAAATTTAAATATTTTTGGTGTGAATAAATTTCATTGTGTGCTTTTAAGAAGCTAACCAGAATCGAGAAAACAAAAATATATCACAAATTTAAGAGTTAAATATAGATATGTGTCACTGATTTAATTGGCGGTTATGGATAATTGCGTTTTACTATGCACATACATTTGATGCAAGAATAAAGTGTTCTCAATTTGCACAGCGATCGAGTGAAATATAAATTGTTTTCAAATTATGGGTAGTTTTTTAATTGATAAGTTTCTAATAGTAGTAAATATGTCTTAAATTGGTAAGACAGTGGCTAAGTGAAGAGGTATTTAATTAACTAAGCAAGGTTTTGGCCCACGAAAACTTCTGGTTTATACCTTTCCTGCATAGCAATTATATTAATTAAATACACAAACGGCATAAATGAAAACATAAGTTTGATTATTAACTGCCCATTCTAATTTACCTAAAGGGGGTAATTCGAATGCAACACTTAATGGGTCCATTGTTGGTCTCACATCCAAATTTGCAAATTAATGTGAGTATATATTAACTTGTCACGTGATATGTCTTTACCATAATTGGCTAAACCAGCACCTTAATGATACTATTTATCATACATATTACTTACCTTTTTTTTGTCTTTTTTTTTTTCTCTTCCATGGTCTATGCTTAAAATATAGAGTAAATAATGGCTTTTAAAATACTAGTTTATTATATAAATTTATATTTCGTTTCTGATTCCAACATCATTGTGACCCCACGTCATCATCATTCCCTTTCTTGATTATCACTTACCAAAACCTCTCAAACCCTACTCCTGTCGACCTCGTTAATCGTTGACAATCGAGTGATTAGGGTTTGCATAAACACCCCTCCCAAGCCAAATTTCGATCAATTCCAACCACCAAAATCCAACATTCTACCATCAAAAGACTCATTGATCTCCCATCTTCAAAAGCTTTAATAGTATGAACCAAGTTTGCTCTTTGTTCGTTGTCGAAACATAAATTTAAATAATAAAATGATATTTTAAAAATTCGTGGGTGTGAAAGTGTTATTAAACCATTATTTGGGTTAGAAAAAGTCGATAACTCTAAAATATAACACAAAAACAGTTTATTTAGTCTCATGCATAATTATCCTTTTCTTTAACTAATCCAGCTAAAGAGAAATAAAATTTCCAAACTAGTTTAAGTACATAGACATTTAGAGATAAAAGGAATTAGGTCTAGAGAAAAGGCTAAGAGAGTAATTCGAAAGTGTACTAAAGCCAAATTGATTAATCTCTAGTATGTATACATGTTTATGTATTAAATCATTAATTAATATGTAAAGGAAGATTAGTGTATGTAAGTTTGAAGTTTTCGATGGGGAGCAAGGGACAACAAGGGCGGTGAGCTATAGAGTAAGCCAATGATTCCCTAAATTCATGGGTTTCGAAATTGTCTGCGCTAGGACTAGGAAAGCATTGGTTTTGATTACTAATTATTATTAATTAAAAAAATAAATTATTTAATTAGTCAATAATTAAGCACTCAATTTAATGGGACATATTTTTCAGGTGTAAGGGAGACTCGCCAAATAGAAACAAAGGCCTAACTGGAAGTATATATGCAAACGGTTTAGTTGGAATGCAGATCAATTGCTATCCTCGAGAAGTCTTATTTATTTATTTATTTTTTTGGAGCAAAAGATGCAAGTCTTGGTCTATCTGCAACACCCTTAAAACATAGATATGGCCTCACACTAAAAACTCCAGGCTTTCGATGAAATTGATGCATCTTGGTGGCTAGTCTCTTCGTTTATTGTCGTCTCTCTTAATTTAATCAATCACCATCGACACTCACTGAGCTATTTACATCATCTGTCATGTCATTGCTTTTCCACCCATTGCTTAAATATGATTTCACCGTGGTTAGTAACTTTTCTTTTTGTCATTTCAATCAATCCTTCTGTTCCTCTGTACTCTATATATATATAATATATATATATATATACTGTGCATCAACAGTAGACTTGATCCGTGAGACAATTGACATGTTAGTGGCACAGGAGCTTGTTGTCCCAAGATTGTGTTCCATTATTATATGGCTCCGATTTTTTCATTAGTAAGGTTTCTAATTAAGAATGTCATTAATGCAATGCCATTGGAACACTTCACCAGACATTAGACATCCCATTTTTTATGTGCCACCCATGTTTCTTTCTTACCTTTTGAAAACTTGAAGATTATTAATTCTTTATCTTCTTATCTACATGAACCATGATAATTTAATTATTAATGCTAAAAGGTTTTGATGATAGATTTTGTTTGTTATTTGAAATAACTATGGACTAAAGGTTCAATTTTCTTTAGAATTAGTATGAGAGAATGCGCACAATTGAAATGGGATTAATCATCAAAGTGATGGCATATAATGTTTTTCATCACTATCAAAAGAAAAAACTTTTAAAAGGGATGTAAAGTTATAAAGAATGTAGAACGATTGATTCTTTAATTAAATACATCTTTTAGAAATGACCTGAAACAAGAAAAAAAAAAAAAAGTGAAGATCAGGCACTAACTTTTTTTTTTTTATATATATATTCGGTAAACTTGTAGGATATCATTACCTTCAAGAATTCCAGCAATTGCCATGTCATCGTCATGAAGACAGGAATGACTCTGGCAGTAATATTGGAGCAACTGAGAGCAATTTAAAATACGACCGTAAGTCTACATATCTAACATGTAAATAAGAAACAACATCACAAATAAGATTGATCAATCCAATTACCAGTACTAGAATGGAGCTTTCTAAATTAAATATTTACTCAATTAGTAGACAATGATATACATAGAATTTTTTATCAGAAATATTTTTTATTTAATTTTCAAGTAATCTTTTCTCTTAAACGATTTTAAAGTGTTATTTTGTTCAAGTATCTTTTACTATTGAATGATTTGAAGTGTTTTTTGTTGAGGTGTGTATTTCTTATATATTTTTTTAATTAATTTATTTTAGAACTTCAACTTCATTTACATATAAATATATATACTTATTTAAGACGTTAATTATTGCAATCTGAATTTAGATTCTTTAATATTATTGATATCATATGAGGTATTGGTATAAAACTTTTCACACTTTATTTTGTCTTTTCTTTACTAAAGAATACTTAATCCCATCTCAAATACAATTAAAATATTTATTAACCTATATGATTAAATTCCTCCCGCCTGTTGTGAAATTATGAAAACACATAAGCAAAATTCTGTAGAGGAGAGAGATGGAAAAAGGACGATTGAAAAGGGCAAAATAGTAAGTTGGAGAAGGAACTGTCATCAATACTACAGTTTCAAGAAACAAAATCATGGTATTCACTTAAATTTTACCCCTTGAACTTTTGGCTGTCTCCATCTCAACCTCACAGCGCCCCCCCCCCCCCCCCCCCCCCCCCCCCTCTCTCTCTTTTTTTTTTTTTTTTTTCATTTATTTTGCCATTTTCACAAGCCCTAACGCTACAGTTCTTGACCTCTTTCCTCTTACTATAATAAGAATATATCTTGAATAATGAAAGTTAAGGCATAAACAAGTCTATATAAGAGGTCAGTTGTTCCTCCTTTTCTAGGAAAAAAACAATGACTTGATACAATTTCTGAAAACAAAGCCTACCAAAATTCCACTAAACTGCAAAACTTTCTAGTATTACTCAAACATAGAAACTACAAGAGAGGGAGAGAGTCTTCTCACTCACTCCCATCAATCTCATCGGACCCAAATTCAGCCTATCATCACCCAATATTACTCTTCTAAATCTTCATTGTTGCTCCATTCCTTCTCTTCCCTCTTTATCTCTCTCCTCTAAAATGGAAATTCTGTAATATCAATCAATAATTCTTTCTTTTTAATTTTTTCTTTTCTTTTCTTGAATGAGTGTGTGGTTGTTTTCATCAACAGTAACATCTGCCAACCAAAAAAAAAAATCTCATTCACTGCAGCAAGAATTATAAGAAACCAAAGATTCAGTACCATCGATCTTCTCAACTACTTCTCTCTCTTCTCTCTTTCTCTATATTATTATACTAGTACTCTCTTCCTATCACAAAAAGAGAAAACCCTAAAAAACAGAAGTAAAAACACCTCTCGTACGAACAAACAGAAGTACCATACTTATAAACTACAAGAAAAATTGGATAGTTGTCTTAGTTCTTGCTCTCCATCTCCATGGATTCAATCCAAGAAATGGACAACTCAAACACTGAAAACGCAGGAAGCCTCACCCCAAACCTAGCCACACCCAACAAGAACTCAGTTATTGCAGCCCCTTCTTCATCGTCTCCATCGCCAACAAGTTCCAGCCGCTACGAGAACCAGAAGCGACGCGACTGGAACACCTTTGGTCAATACCTTAAAAACCACAGGCCTCCTCTTTCTCTTTCTCGCTGCAGTGGGGCACACGTCCTTGAATTTCTTCGTTACTTGGATCAGTTTGGCAAGACCAAAGTCCACACCCCTATCTGCCCTTTCTATGGACACCCAAACCCTCCTGCTCCTTGCCCCTGCCCTCTCCGCCAGGCATGGGGCAGTCTCGACGCGCTCATCGGCCGTCTACGCGCCGCCTTTGAAGAAAACGGTGGGAAACCTGAGGCTAACCCATTTGGTGCACGCGCTGTGCGGCTTTATCTTCGTGAGGTTCGTGATTTGCAGTCTAAAGCAAGAGGGATTAGCTATGAGAAGAAGAAGCGTAAGCGTCCACCTCAGCAGCAACAAATTCCACTTCTCCCACCACAACCAGGTGCAAGTTAAACATATGATGGAAGAAGAGAAAATAAAGAAAATCCGTAAGCAAGAAGTTTTCACAGTATGGTCTGTTGTAGTTTCTACTTCTTCTTATCTTCTTGTTGCTTGATCTATGTGGGGTATTTTCTTATTTCTGGTTATTATGAGTTAGTATTATGGTACTTTAGTACATGTAGAATTAGTCTACTTGTTTTCTCTGTTGTCGTCTGTCTGTTTGGTTTGACAGTAAGCAAATGGTTAGATCTGGAGATACCTTTGAATCTGCTTTCGATGCGAACAGTGATGGTGTTACCAGTAGGAGACTAGTAGTTAAATACTCTAAAAGTGGTAGTAGGATTAATTGTACTAGCAGTTATTGTCCATGTGAAACCGAGAGAGCATCTAATTGCCCTCCTCGTTTTATGTACTTGAATATTCATCTATGTCAAGTATTAGATTTGCAGATTATATATGTATTTCTTCGTCCCTTTCTCTTACTCTCTTTCTTTTACATAATGTTTAATTTCCTAATTCATGAATGGGTGTTGGCAATTCAGTTCGTGGTTGTTAAATCTTTGAAACTACTTTACTTTAAGAATAATATGTCAGATGTTTCTTATAATATATTTATATGGATATATATGTCTAAGATGACTGGGTTGCAGCTGGTGCTCAGTTTCTCATCTCTGCTACTCTTTATATCTGACTTATAGTGTGTTGTCACTTTAAATCCTTTACTGTTCGAATACTTATATTATATGCATGGTTTATAATTTATAGTGTGTGAAGTTAAAACTCCAAGCCCTTATTAATATAGTATTGATTGAAGTTATTAACATCGCACTTTTGCCAACGAAAACTTGACAGTGGCCCTGGAATTTTTTCAATTAATTGATAAATGTCGTTTCACTAGTGCTGTCATTTCAGGCTCAGGTGAAGGCCAGAAACAATGAAAATGGCAGACAATTTGATTTCTTTCTGGTTAACTATGGGTTTGATTTATTTGTTAAATTAAATACTCTAAACTATATCAGTAAAGTTACATGTAAAATTTTCTCTTATTTGACATATCGGTTTCAGTTTTTTAAGAAAAAAGGAAAGACAATTACTCGATGAAATAAATTACAGTGACCACAAGAACCATTAAACAGTGGAAACTAGTTAGATTTCCAATCAAGTGAAATTTAGTTGGACATGTATTTAGATTAGAGGTGCATAGATAAGGGACAAAAAGTACTTAACATCCATTGTTTGCTGTTATTGAATATTTGATGCTCATAGTGCATTTAGGCAATTAAGAAAGGAAGTTATGCATGAGATTCGAGGGAAAATTTTTCTTAATCAATTTGGCCGACAGTTGATCTGTGATTGGTTGATACGGCCATCCCTTTTGGATTTTCTGATTATATTAGGCTTAAAAGAAGAATTAGCATAATCCCGCTCATGTTCGGAGAAGAATAAGTGTTTGATTGTATATATGAGCCATTGGCTAAGAAGGAAAACACTAATGGTAAATGGAACAGATGCTAGAGAACCTTCTTTTCTTTTAAGCGATTCTAGTGGGGTATGAAACTGCCACTTTGACGCATAGAGGAGATCTATATAGGTGCCCCTAATCATTTTAGTTTATCATGCTGTGATTATAATATGGTTTAATTTTTGTATTAAGGGACCTCCTCATATTAATGTAATATCAAAAGCATTACTCTCTCATTTCTCAACATACATATCTAGCCTGCGATGAATTCAGCTTCCTTAGGATTAACTTACTCCAAAAGTGATTTCATTTCTCTTTTTATTTTAACTAATTGTCATTAATTGATTCCACTGCCATGGAGACGATAAAATACATGTCTGAAGGTTATATTTGTGCCTGATGTGTGTGTTCTTCAGTGATATGTGACTCACTTATCATCTGAGTTAATTCTTCACCATCAACTATCTGTCTTTGTTTACATGTGCTAAGAATTAATGCTGGTTAATGGTTTTGGCTGAAATAGTTATCTTCAGATTTGAGATCTTGATCCTGCAGTTATCGATCATCTAATTCGCTCTTCTCCATTGTTCATATCAAGTCATAATGCATGTCGTTTTTCAATTGGTTTATAAAAATTAATTTATGATCTGGTTACATTACTGTTCAACTGAAAAGAAAGTTCAGCTCATCACTTTTGGCAGTTAGGTCTCTCTTTGCTCTATAGGGCCGGGTATGGTCATCCAGGTCGCAGATCGCAGAATTGAAGCTCTCGTCTCTATTTTGATAACTTTGGCATCACTGTTTAAATTTGAATGGTGATGTATGTAACATAGTACTCTAGAATTAATTGTGAAACATTTACATAATGTGTTATAAATGAAGGTTACCAAGAATAAGGGCAGGTAAATAACTTCCTCAATTGACTATATAAAAGTTTAGGGCAACTACAGAATGCTTTCTTTAAATTCGTTAGAGACGTTACAAATGACTGGATTATCTAAATTACCACCTCTTCATTCATTGCATTTTTATGTTCATGTGTTAAGAGGAAGAGAAGGTGTAGTTTGGATGGTAATCGTGAGGAAAATTCGAGTAAATGTGATTGTCGTACAACTTTCCTATATTTCTATCGACTTGTTAAGTTATTCTCTTGTGAGTGATATGTGACATCAGAGTCTCTTACTAGGTTATTAATAACTAGATTATTTTAGGGTGTTAAATTAACTAGTATTAGATTATATGGGAATTATCATGTATAAACATTATATATGAGTTCCGCTTGTAATTTGATTCCTATATATATATATATATTTCTTTTTATCATAACGTGTGACAGACTAAAAGTAAAGAAGAAATAACATTATTTCATTATTATCGTTATCATCATCATCATCATCATTCTTAAAAGTTACCGACAAAACGTTCTCGATGGGCCTAGCTTTCTTTCACATTAGTAAAGATGGAAGCGAAAAGAATCTTTTGAATGACTAGAGATTTGATCATAATCCATCAATGGACAATTTTTGCAATTTGTTTCATGGATGAAATCATTACCCTAAACTAGTGAAGCCAAGTGTTCATGTGAAAAGCAGATAACTTGCTTAATTATTGCGGTGACATTAAAGTGTTGAAACAAGGATGAAGATCACCATAACTGAAACAAGGATTGAAGTGTTTGAATTACAAGGTAGCGGTGAACAATAAATTAAGCAGCAGCAGTAGCAGGAGAAGACTATGATTAATTGGCTTCTTCCAAAAAAATTATATATATGCTGATAATGATATGAAAATGGCTCTGGAGAGTCGAGAGGCATAGTCACAAAATCATTAATTCAGGTGTATCTAGGGATCTAGCTAGGGTCCATAATTCTTCCTTCAAAAGAGTGACCTGATTGACAAAGTGCAAATTATAGAAGAATGACTTAGTAGTTATAATGGAATCCTAATAAGCCACTAATCGATTCGAAAAGCAAATCCTAACTAAATGATGACTTGACATACATATATATATATATATATATATAATAAAACTTCTCTATAGTGATACTCAATATAAGAATAAACTCTATATAGTCATAAAAAATTATATTCCCAACTTAAGATAGTTATAAATAAGAATAAACTCCACATTGTAATAAATTATAATTTTTCTAATTCCTATCTTAAGGAAAGTTACCTCTACGTAATAATAATTATGTATATATTGCAAAAAAATATATTATTTGTTACATTAAAGGTTTAAGATGAAATAAAATATTTATTTAAAATTGTTTAGGAGAATGACTTATGCTTTAGAGTTGTTATCACATCTTTTAACTAGCGAGTACATTACTCGCTAATATGGACATGTTCTTGTTGAAGCCAAAATATTTATAGCTACTCAAGCATGTTTGGAGCTTCTTGGCATGAAACTTTTTGTATTTCCGTACTATCATCTTCATGATTATTTATTTTCTTTTCTTGGGTAATTGTAGCAATGATTTCTTCTTCGATTGAAGTATACATGACTTGTTGCTCATTTGAATTATTGAAGAAGACATTAATATCCATTCGATTAGTGTAGTGAAGTTGTCAAATATGATCACTTAATTCTACAATGATTTTTTGATTTTTCTCATCCACTTTATTTATAACTTGCAATTCATCGACATCAGTGGTCTTAACTTTGTAATGCTTAAAACAATTAGCAATTGTCTGTGACTTCATATCAGTTTAACCATGCAGCAACTGTATTTACAATTTCATCAATGACACTTATCTTTGCTGTTTTAAGACACGATCTTCTATTCGTTTAAAAAATAGGCAATTGAAACACTTAATTAAAATTATAATACTATTAAAATATGAATTGAAATCTTAATACTGTATTACTAAAACATGAATTATAAAATAAGAAATTTTTGTAACTACACCTCTATTAAATTATAACCTCTTCATAGTAATAAAATTATTTAGTTCAATCATTATGATTATAAAAAAGTTTTACTCTTCGTAATAATAAAATTAATTAATCCCATCATTATGATTATAGAGAGGTTTTACTGTTTGAATTTTTTGGTAATAAAATGATTGTAAGCAGATCCTCTCTTATAAAAGCGAAACCATAATTGAAGAATTGGAACACACACATCTTTCATATTTAATTAATTAAGAACAACAAAATTATATTTTAACATGTGTTAGATTTAGACGAGGACCTTGAATATTTAACTGTAATGTGCAGTCATCTCATCACAGACTTCAAGCCGTCCAGTTCTCAAAACTGGAAAAGAAAAGAACTAAGCGCAAGAAAAGACATGAACCGTCACAGCAAGGCTTCAAGGTTGAGTAACTTTTTATGTTGAATATTTCTCTTATAGTAATAACATTCAAAGGAGTAATTATAATCATCTCCTTTTTTTTTTTTTTTTTTTTTAATTTTTATTTAAGTAATTATAATCTGACCCAGTAAACAGTAATGTTTAAGCTTTAACAGTTCCACCGTGATTCATTTAATTTTGAAATTAAAGCAACTTCTGGTGAAGAAGCAGNTCTATATAAGAATAAACTCTACATAATCATAAAAAATTATATTCCCAACTTGGGATAATTATAAATAATAATAAACTACACATTGTAGTAAGTTATAATTTTTCTAATTCCTGTCTTAAGGAAAGTTGTCTCTGCATAATAATAATTACGTGTACATTGCAAAAAAAAGAAAAAATATATTATTTGTTACATTAAAGGTTTAAGATGAAATACATAGTAATAATTATGCGTATATTGTAAAAAAAAAATATATTATTTGTTACATTAAAGGTTTACAATGAAATAAAATATTTATTTAAAATTGTTTTGGAGAATGACTTATACTTTAGAGTTGTTACCACATCTTTTAACTTGCGAGTACATTACTTGCTAGCATAAACATGTTCTTATTGAAGCTAAAATATTTATAGCTACTCAAGTATGTTTGAAGCTTCTTATTACGAAACTTTTTGTATTTCCGTACTATCA